ATTTCGGGGCTGCGGCCAATCTCTGACGGCTTGAATTTTCTCCTTATCCGTCGATATGCCCTCCGGCGTCACGTGATGCCCCAGGAACTTCACCTCTCGTTGGAAGAGACTGCACTTCTTTGGGTTCAGCTTGAGGCCTGAAGACGAAAGCTGCTGAAGAACATCCTTTAAATTCTTGATGTGTTCGTCGAAGTTGCGTTCCATGACTATGATGTCATCCAGGTATATGAGGCATGACTTCCACTGCAGCCCTTTTAACACACGCTCCATCAGCCTTTCAAATGTAGCCGGGGCGTTGCAGAGTCCGAATGGCATGACATTGAACTGCCAGAGACCCCCATTAACGCCAAACGCTGTTTTCTCCTTATCTTTCTCGGCGATCTCTACTTGCCAGTACCCACTCTGCAGGTCGAGGGTGGAGAACCATGACGTCCCGGCTAATGTGTCCAATGTGTCGTCGATTCTTGGGAGCGGATAGCTGTCTTTCTTGGTGACATCATTTAACTTTCGGTAGTCCACACAAAACCGGGTGCTTCCGTCTTTCTTCTTGACCAAGACCACTGGGGAGCACCATGGACTTGACGATGGTTCTATTACACCACTCTTTTCCATTTCACTTATCAGCTTCTGGACCTCGTCTCTTTTGGCCAGGGGAACACTTCTTGGAGGCTGTTTAATGGGTCGCGCGTCTGCTGTATTGATTTCATGCTTCACCACTGATGTTCTTCCTTGGTGCTCCTCTGTCAACGCAAAGGTAGAGGCATATTTCCATAATAGCTGCTTAGCCTTGTTCCTCTCGGAAGGTGATAATTGGTGTGTCCACTCTTTTATGTAGCCGTCGAGGTGCTTCTTCTCCATGGCTGCTGGCTTTTCGGTGCTAGTTTCCAAATTAATTACAGCTTCAGCTGGTGTGCATTGTCCAACATCGGAAAATTGGCAAATTTGCTCTTGCTTGTTTGACAGGTTCAAAACTCTAACAGGAATCAATCCGTCCTCGTTGCTTTTCACCAGGGCATTCGCTATTAGGATGTTACTGTATCTGTTTTCTGCTGGTTCCACCACCCACAACTTCTCGGCTCCACAATCTCCATTCATTGGTACCCATATTATTGCTTCGGCACAGGGCGGTATTATCTCTGGATGGTCCGTAGTCAGACGTCTAATGGGTGTACTTTCATCGTAGCCCACGTTTAACGGAATTTCGACGTTAGACCAGGTCATCACACGCTCTCTCATATCCAGATTGATACCGAAGGCAATCATAAAATCTGCGCCTATTATCACTTCGTCTACGATATCGGCAACTATAAACTCGTAATTCACCGATTTATTGGCAATAGTCAGTCTCAGGGTAATCTTGCCGTGTACTGCCGCGGGCTCCCCCGTTGCTGTGCGCAGTCTGACTCCATTAAGTTGCGTTATTTTTCCCTTTACCAGATCTGATCTTATGATGGACTTTGATGCGCCAGTATCAAACGTCAGAACTCGCTTGTCACCATTGATGTACCCAGTTGCTGTTAGGTTGTGACTTTTCTGTTGTACTATTGCTATGGAGATTGTGGGGCCATCGTCGATGGGAGCCAGTTCATGCCCCTCTGGACTGGCTCGATTTAGTTTAACGGTGACTCATTGGTGGACTGTTGAGCAATTCTTCTAACATCTTTCGTTGGAGGTGGTGACGATGACCTGGATCGTTTGCGCTTAGCTCTGCATTCGCGCGCAATATGACCTGCTTTATCGCAGTTGTAGCATCTAACCCTGGGCTTAGTCATCCCTACTAACTTTGTTTCTTCTATTACCTGCCTCATGGCGTCCTTGATCGAGTTAACGAGAGATTTGGGTTCGCAACCTTCGGTCTCCAGTTGGCGAATCTTGTGGGTCTGGGGCTTAACAATTATTCTGGCCGTCTCTTGGGCAAGGGCAAACGACACAGTTTCGGCAAACGACGCTTTTGGTGACGCATATATTGCACATTTAATCTCAGGGTCACGTATGCCATTCACAAAGGTTTCGATTTTCATACGGTCCAGCAATGGGTGATTCTCTCCTGGATACGCCATTAGCACCAAACGTTCCACCTCAGCTGCAAAGTCTTGTAACGTCTCGTTTGCCCTCTGTACTTTTCCCCTTAGTTCCATAAGGTATATGTTTTGTTTATGTTCGCCACCGTACTTACGTTCCAGTGCATCCTCATAGTTGTTTCTAGAAGCGACAGGAATACTCTGTATAACATCAGCAGCACTGCCCTTCAATGCCAGAAGTAGTGCAACCGCTTTGTCACTGTCGTTCCACGAATTTCTAGAAGCCACTGTCTCGAACTGTAACTTGAAAACATTGAATGACGTAGAGCCGTCGAATACAGGAGGTTTGATTTTTAGTGTGTTATCAGGAACTCGCACCGGACCACCTTTAATTTCCAGTTCCTACATTTTCTTCTCCAGATTCGTAAACCTGTGGTCGTGGACCAGAAATTTCTCGTCAACCGACTGCACTTTCTTATCCAACTCTTTAATTTGGACCTCCACGGTTTCCACTCTCCTTCCAATAACTTCTGTAATGTACTCGAGTTTCTCGTTCGTTATTCTCGAATTCTCTTCGAACATTCGTCTCGAGTTTTCTTCTAACTTTCTGGAATTCTCTTCGAACATTCGTCTCGTGTTTTCTTCTAACTTTCTGGAATTCTCTTCGCTCCTTCTGAAATTTTCCTCAAACATTTTGGCCAGCATTTCTCTGAAATCGTCACCCCTGGCAGCTACTGACGAGACTTCCCCACCGTTGGATTCGCCCATTTCCGATAAATCCACTTCATCCTTACTGTCAAACTCATATGTATCGATGTTCATACCACGGCGCTCGAACTCATCCAACAGACGTTTTTGTAGTTCAGCCTTGTTGCCAGTAGAGGACAATTCCAATTTATTGAGCTCCTTCTTTAAGTCTTCCACTCGTAGATCCTTAAACTTCATCGTAGTATTATCGTAATCCCACTTCTGACACCAATTGTTACGTTCTTGGACTTCACTTATTCCCGTGTAGACGTTGTTTTATTTCCCGATACAGTTCGTACCAAATAAAACGCGGGTTCGTTCTGATTACGATTATTACAATGATTTTATTCACACAACTTTACTTTGCACTTTACTTTACACAACGTTTTCAATTCGCGATCTGATTCACAACTGACTCACTGTCTTTCCATTTCCTCTATTTATATGAGCCCTGCCTGTCGTTACAGAAGTTTCTAGACGATCTGGTAACGTCTAGATTACGAACAATCTACCAATGCAACAAACACACATACAAACTTACATTGAGTAAACAATAACAACAACACATACAAACTTACATTGAGTAAACAATAACAACAACACATACACAGGCGAGGGGGTAACAAAGAAAGAGGAATTAAGCGATCATCAATGATGACGTTTAACAAGAATTGTACGACAATAACAAAAATAGAAAATGAAAGAGGAAATGGAAGGATGTAGAAAAAATCTATACAGTAGTTGTTGTTGTGAAGTTATTCGAATAAACTGCGTAGTAGAAATTTACGTTACAATTCAAATTCTTAAATTAACGGAATTCATCTAAATTAATCTTAAATCTAAAGTTATATTCGTAACAATATTTTCTCTTCGCAGTAGCCTGTAAAAAACGGTGTTCCCCAAGGATCAGTTTTGGACCCTCTATTATTTTGCATATACATCAACGATCTACCGGAGTCACAGGCACATTGCAAATTACAAATATATACTGATGATGTTCAATTATATCTAGGATCGCACCCAAGCTATATATATATATATATATAATTAATGTTGATTTGAGAAACATATCTAACTGAGCTGAAAACAATAGACTAACACTAAATCTCCTTAAGTCAAAATGAATTCACAATTGTGCAAAAAAAAAACAATAACCTCAAATAGATTCCTTAAAACTTAATGATGCTACAATTGAATACGTTAGCTTCGCTTCTTACCTAGGCGTGGTATTTAATAACAAACTATCATGGTCGAATCACATTAACATGACAAGTGCACTGAATGCTATGCAACCTCTGGGCAGTTTAAACCTCTATCCCATGGAAATACGCAAAGTCATACTTTGTTTCGACTCTATTATACGGCTCCGAAGTTTTTTACAACTGTGATAATGCTGACCAAAGCAAGCTTAAAGTTAGGTTTAATAATATTGCAACATATATATTTAGTAAAAACGTAGTGATAGAATTTCTGAGCATGCCTATAAGATCTTTAATGTGGCATTTGAAAACTACCTTAAATATTTTCATTTCAACTATATTTAGTATTTGGTATTATCTTCCACTTAATATACAGATTATAAGCAACAACCTGCGTTTCAAAAATGAATTACAAAAATATTTTACATGAAATGATTGAAAAGCCTATTTTGTTATTATCTTTATTACATCTTTATCCATTATATAATCTTGAAATATTCAATGTACCATTAGCACTACCTTATAAGAATTTTATTATTCTCAATGTGCTAGATAGATAAATAACAAATTATTTATAAAATCTATTTGTATTTTTTTAAACTAACTAACTAAAAATATAAACAAAATAAATTCTGGCAACTCTTGTAGCATACAGATGTTTTTATCTTTGTGTCAAACAGTGTTAAGAAATTTTATTAATTTTTGTGTAATTTTTATTGTGATATGGTGTATAAGTGAAGTGTGAAATACAAATATATACTGTTGTTACTAAAAAGATAAGTGAATTGTATATTGTCTTCTTACGGTTGAACTGTCTATTTTAAATGTGCCTAACTATTGTTTTAAATGTGCTGGTTTTAACGGTAAACAATTTGACCTTATAATTAATCGGGACAAAGGACTTGGTTGGGCTTGCATCGATTGTAGGTCCCTAGAAGTGGATTTTATCGTCTTTTTAGGGAAGCTAAAATCGAAATAGCAGCTGTGGAAGGATTTCGATGATGTACAGTCAAAATTTGTTAAATTTGAAAAAATGTTTGCAAAACTTGAATACCTGAATGGTTCACCAAAGAGGAAGAAATCATCAGCTATTGCTAACGGTGATAATTTAATAACATTAAATTCACCGACGGTGGTTCCGCCACGCAAGATTGCTGAGAATGATTCCTCGGAAAACCAACTAGCGGTCCCCGCGCTGTATTCAAATGCAAAACCAGTAAATAAAATTCCTATTGAAAGTGCTTCAATCGAATTTCAATTTTTAGAAACTAATGTTCCTTCAAGTACTAAAAGGTCTCCCGCTGTTCAGTCTGTATCCGTTGGTGCACCTGTTCGGGTCCTTCCGTCTATAGTAGTCACTGAACATTCCCCTTCTTCTAACAGCAATGAATTAATAGTAGTTGCTCTTAGGAGAAGTATATTTATTTCAAGACGTCATTGTAATACTACAGTGGAAAACATTAATAATTATATACACTCTAAAAAACCTAATCTTGCTAATACCGCTAATAAAATTTAATTCTTCGGTTCAACGAGACATATCGTCTTTAAAATTATTGTCCCGTCGATTTTATTTAAAGAATTTGTAGTAGGTCATTTTGGCCTAAAGGTAATGTGTTGGTAAAGGAATTTCTGTATAGGGAACGAAATAACCCAGTGAATTTAGGGGTTATTCCCACTGTATCACCTATGTCAAAAAACCAATAAACCATTTATCCTTGCTTTACCAAGTTCTTATAGCTGTACACAAGTCCATTGCGTATTACTACGGATAATTCCATTGTTGAATTTGTTTGTGTCAAAATAAATTATTAAAATAATATAATAGTTCTAACATGTTCATATATCGTTCCAAATTCTGAAGTAGACATTTACCTAATGCATTCTCAATTAATAAAACAAGTTTATTTGATTTGTCTTGGTGTCTTTAATTTGCCTCATATCAAATGGATTTCAGGTGAGAATAACATAGACTATGTACCAGTCTTGACAACAACCTCGGCACCTGGAATGGATACCTTTTGGGACACTTTATATGATCGATGTTTGCTTCAAATAAATAATGTAAGAAACACCAAAAACCGAATTCTTGATCTTGTTTTTTCTTCCTTCCCAAACATATCATTATGTAGATGTTCACCCTTTGTAGAACCTGAAGATAAACATCATCCCACATTATGTATAACTTTAGAACTGCCAGATACCTCTTAACTGCAGTGGAAACCTGTTCGAAAATTAAACTTTGCGAACACATTATTTGAAAAGGACTTAGATTCGCGTGTTTTTATTACGCGTTAAATAATGTTTTATCAATGTCAGTCCCGGTTCTCAAAGTTAGTTTTGACCGAGTGGTTTACTCCATATCTTAGACGTTTACGTAACGTTAAGAATAGATTATTTAAAAAGTTAAAAAAAATACAATATACTGTTAAATTATACTAATTATAAAGCTAGACATAAATACAATGCAGAGAATTTAAAATGTTATTCAAATCATGTAACCAAAATGAGACGAAACCTTCTGTTAAATCCTAAAAGCTTTTATACATTTGTTAATTCTAAAAGAAAAGTTAGAGAAATTCCCAGTAGTATGATGTATGGTAGCAAAGATTCTGGTGATACGGCTGAAATAGCAGACATGTTTGCAGATTTCTTTCAAAGTACATACTCTACTTTCACATTCAACTCTAATTATGCTTTTAATATTGATAAAAAACAATTCCCCTACTTTTCTTCTAACAGAAGATGAAGTGTTGAACGGTTTAGTGTCAATAAAGTGTTGTTACTCCCCAGGTCCTGATGGAGTAAGTGCGAATATATTGAAAACTTGTGCTTATGAATTATATAAGCCCCTCACTGCTATTTTTAATCTTTCGCTGTCTACAGGATATTTTCCTCTGTTCTGGAGATCTAGCTTCATTATCCCCTTACATAAGTCTGGTAGCAGAAATGTTATTGAGAATTATAGGGGTATTGCAAAATTAAGCGCCATTCTTAAACATTTCGAGCTTCTGGTATCACGTAGAATAATTCATTTCGTTTCGCCAATAATTTCACCTTGTCAACATGGTTTCCTAAAAGGGAGATCGACTTTACACACCATGGATTTTCTACAAAGCAACAAACAGATGTAATTTACACTGATTTTAGTAAAGCGTTTGATACGGTGTTACACAAACTGTTATAATTTAAATTGGACGCCATGGGGTTTCCATTCAAAATGTTGTCCTGGATTTCATCCTACTTGCAAAACCGTACTCAAAGCGTACCTTATAATGATATTTTCTCTAGAAATATTGATGTTCATTCTGGAGTTCCTCAAGGTAGCCATTTAGGTACATTATTATTTGTGTTGCACCTTAATGATCTTACATCAGTGATTCAATTTTCTAAAGTGTTGATGTTTGCTGATGATGTAAAACTTTTGAGCAATTTTGACTCACAAAATCAAGCCCCTACTCTACAAAACGATTTGCACTCTCTTGAATACTGGTGCAGTATTAACGGTATGTCACTAAATCTTAAAAAAGTATACCTATCTAAATGTCGTTCAATCCCTACCGATTATATTATAGAATCTTACAAATTAGATAATGTTGACTCCTTTATTGATCTTGGCGTTATCTTAGACGATAAATTGCGATTTAATTTGCATATTGAGTCATGCGTAAATAAAGCCAAATCTTTACTAGGATTCTTAAACAGGTGGTCTAAAGAGTTTTATGATCATTATGTGACAAAACGTTTATTTGTTAGTCTAGTTCGGCCTACATTAGAATATGAATGTTTATTGTGGAGCCCGTTTTACAGTTGTTATTCTAAACATATTGAATCTGTCCAAACACAATTTCTCTTATTTGCTCTTAAAGGTTTGCCTTGGAGTATAGTTGAAGCACTCCCCCCTTATGAAAATCGTTTAAAACTTATTAATCTTCCAACACTAGAACGAAGACGTTTAATGCTAAGATCTATATTTTTAATAAAACTTTTACGCGGTCAAATTGACTCGAAATTTTTAATAGGTGAAATCAAGTTTAATGTATAATTATATGTTATGTAATTATGAGTTATGTAATCCCTTTAGATCACTATGTGAAATATATAACAACCTGTATAATCGCATCTTTTTATCTGATTCAATACATGCAATAAAAAATTATATTCTACGTTTAGAACTGTAGAGTGCAAGCAGTTGTTAGATGTTTGTGTTTGTCCTTATTGTTGTGTTTAATTAACTTTAAATTGTATTGCCGGCTGATTACTAACCCTCCATGATCCGGATTATGGGGTGTACGTTCTCCCTACGTTATGGGGAGGAGGCCCCCTCGGTCGGCAGGGGCGGGTAAGAGTGGCGTGGGAATGATCGATCAAAAAAAAATATATATATGTATATATATCTTAGAAGTTGTAAACATATTCACCTCCATTTCCAAACATACCTCGTACATCCGGCTAACTATTGTTTTATTATCATCATCGTTAGAAGAACTAACAACTATCAGCGACTGGCTGTGTGTTTCTATTGTTGTAGTATTTTCCTTTGTCCTTTCTGTGTGCGTCTTATCTCTGCTTCGTCATTAGCATTACGGACGATATCATGTGGATTATTTCGGGATATACCTACATCTATGCATACAATTTAGTCGCGTCTAAGATAAACATGTGTATGTGTGTGTGTGTGTCTGTGCATTTGAAAGGGATAAGCAAACAAGTGCAAATTATATTTGCCTGCACAAATTGCTGTTCGAATACATTCAAAACAGAACGAAACGGAACAAAAGAGCAGAACCTAAACAATAAATGAGACGAACAAGCAACCACCAGTATCGGCAAGATTTGTGAAATCGAAATCGTTGTGCATAGTGGGCGGTATTTGAGTAAAAATTGCGGCAACGGCATCATAGATTGTTTCTTTCTTTTTAGTTTGTGTGCTGTTTTGTTTATTTATTCATTCAGTTGTATGTGTGCAAGCAAGATCATTGCTTTTATGCAGACTTCTGCCATGGAAATATTGAGTTGAATTGTTTAGTTCTAATTTGGCTTTACTCGCATTCGCATCGATTTGAACTTTCTCGCCGGCGGGGAATACTTCGAGTGAAGAACACTTACATTTGGATTACAGAAGTTCATTATTTTTTCCGAAAACGTTCACTTCTCTGCAAAAGAACAATGAAACGTCATCGTCTAAATATTAAAAATATTTCCATAGCCGTTGTTATACTCTTGGGCATCTATTTGGTCTTTTCAAGCGGTTATCATGACTATGAGGCGGATGGCATTATCAAAAATACCAAACCGGAAGATGTTTGGAATTATGTGTCCGATTTTAGTAAAATGAGACTCCTAAATCCATCCATGTATGTATTTTTTATTAGCAAAAGTAATGAGTATATCAAGAAGAAGAAACGAATAGAAATAAACAAGTGACCAGCATTGATGCTGCTGCATGTTAATGGATTCTGAAATAAATTTTATGTATAAATTTTCTTTTTGTTTTTTTTTCATGTTTCAACTACCACATCCGTTCTCTGGACTGACTTGTTGCTGTTTGTCGACCTGTGTGTGTGTGTCTGCATAGTTTGAATTTCAAAATACTATCGGATGGCGGCAATACACACGATTTTCGTTATACCGTTGAGTACACTGAACGTCTGAACCATTGGCCCTATTGGCTGAATACGGCAAGAGCCAATTTCAAAGTTATGAAATCGATGCCGCATATTCAACCACAAGTATATTCGATCGAATCTCAACATGAAACATGTTTTTTCAAAGGCCTATATTGTTGTAAGTAGATTTTGTTAAATTATTTGAGTTGTATATATATATATATATATATATACAGTGGCTGAAAAAAATAATAAGAGGATCAAAATGGAACATTGAACTAATTATAGAACATGGTTAGATTTAAAAAATTCGTCCCTGATTTACATTAAAAAAAATACGATATGTATATCATCGAAATATCGAGTTGAGACTACAACTTTCTTTGAACATTTTTTTTCACACAATTGTAAGTCGGTTTATAACTGTCTGTCTGGTACCTCCTCCGAAAATGGTCAAAATTTTACTGTAAATGAATTTTATATCCGATTCTAATCCAACTTCGCACAATAATACTTGTTTACCCATTAATATGTAGTTACTGTAACTTTAAAGAAAGCAAAAAATGTTGCATATTTTTAGGCGTCATCATTTCAAAGTATTATAAAAATATAACAGTATCGAACACTCCAATTCGAAATAAACTCAAATGAAAAATATTCATTCAATTCAATTCATGAATTGAACATATATAGAAGAATTTTGAAATTTTTTTGTAGAATACAGGTTGGAAATTGGTGTTGATGTATGTAAATGGTTTTAAAAATTCGTACTTCTGTGTATTAAAAGTAATTAATGGAACTAAATTTGGCACTATTTGCATTTAGTTTATTAGGATTACTATTGGATTACAGGATTGACATAGCTACAAAAAATCGAACTTATGTGTACTGTAAATGTACTAAATTATAATAAATTTGGTACATGTTGGATTTAGGCTGTTGAAGTGTAGGATTGAGGTAATTTAGGAAATTCGTACTTATGTACGAGAAGTGCTAAATGGTACTAAATTCATTGCAATTTGAAATTTGAGTAGAAGGATAGAGCTGAAAACCTAAAATTTGGAATTAAAATTACTTTTGAGGATAGAGCTATAGAGACAGTTTTGGAAATTCGTCTTTATGTGTACGAAAAGTACTAATCGGCATTATAATTCTTACGTGTGAGTATGAAAAGTACAAGACAAGTATGAAAAGTACAAAAGACGTTTCGATATGAAGCTTATGAATAAAAAATTGTGGCAAACTTTGAAATCTTTAACTAATGAGATTGATGTTTTTGTAATATTTCCATTCTATTTCGTATGTATTTCGTGTATGAAACTTTTTGAATTTTAAGGCAATATTATTAAAAGTAATTATTTACAATTTATTTCCTTTTAAAAATATGTTTTTAGAAAAATGAAAAAAAAAACATAGAAAGTACATTTGGTGTAGATTCTGCATTTTTAAGTGCTATATAAATTTCATTAATTGTTTTTGAGTTTGTCTTTTAAAAAATCCTTAAATATGATCCAAAATTACATATATAAGACCAAAAGTACATCTTTTGATGAAAATGTGGTCTTGAGACGTCAACGTCCGCCGCTGGAAAATATATCCTTAAACGTCAAACATTGAGACGCATATTAAAACAAAATAGAACCTTTAGGCTATACCTATGGGTGCCAAATGTGCCGGAGCTACCCGGATAGGGGCACCTTCGACGAATTTCACTTTTTTGACAAAACTGTAAAAATATTTAACTAATTCTAATTTATTATATGTTTTTGGTACGAGTTTTTATGAGCAGCAACAAAGGTATTATATCTGTTGAATAAGTGCTAAGATATAGACCATTGGCGTGAGGTTCCATAGTATATATAATATACTAGCAAAATGCCCGCTACTTCGTATGCGGAAAGGGAATACAAAAAAAGTTTTTGTTTTTGCAAAATAGTCAGCCTGACACTAATAATACAAATAACCCACTAATAACCCCAATAATTTTGTACTCAAACGTTTGATATTTTTTTACTTATTTCCGCAATGAGAGTGATTTGTTGTTTTTATAAAAAACAACTTTTTATTAGTGGGGAATGTATGTGTCCGCCGAGGTGTAAGGCAGGGAAGACTATAGTTTTGAATGTCGCCACTGATCCTCATCACCACCACTAAATTCAGTACCAGTTAATACCAAAAACTTCTTTCTAACTTTCCGTCAGTAAACCACATTTCAAATTCAGTGCATTTTCTATTTAATTTACTGTATATTTATTACATAAAAATTCGAGTTTCTAAAGTCCGAAATCTCAGCATTCAACCAAATCCAAATTGTTTCACATTTGGAATTTTTCATGCTCATTAGTAAACATTTCTATAACTTCATCAATCCTACATTTTAACAACAATCTTAATTCCACCGATGTCCAAACTGTACCAAATTTAGTACTTTTTGTACTCATAAGTTCGAATTTCCAAATGTACCTCAATCCTGTTTTCAAATAGTGATCGTAAGTCCAAATTTAAGAATTTAAGCTCTGCCTGTTCATTAAAAACCAAATTGTACCAGATTTGGTACCATTCTATCATTTTCGTATCGACATCATAAACCTACCTAAATATTCTAAACCTGAAGTCTGAAGTCCAAATTTAATAATTCCAGCTCTGTTTATTCACCAAAATGTACCAGATTTCGTACCATTCAATATTCCAAACCTATATCAATCATACACTCCCACAGTAACCTAAGTTGCAACTTTCAGGATTCGAGTTCTACCCGTTAACCATAGTCCAAATTGTACCAAATGTTGTGCTTTTCGTACCCATAAGTAAGAATTTCCTAAACTACTACCTTATTTCCTAAACTACCTCCATGCCTCAATCCTACACTACAACTTTAATTTTAATTCCAATTTTTTGGATTCCCGCGCAAACAAAACGAATTGTACCATGTTTAGTACCATTTAGTGCTTCTCGTATTAATAAGTACGAAATTCCAATAATTTTCATTCCAAACTTAAGTTTTCCATGTCTATCCGTTCAATTAAATCTAAATTGTACCAAATTTAGTACACATAAAGACGACATTTCAAAACTACCGACATATGTCAATCTTGTACTCCAACTGTAATTTTAATTCAAAATTTCAGGTTCTCAACCCTATCCGCTCACACAAATACAATTTGTAAACTATTTGGTACCATTTAGTACTTTTTCCCAAACTACGTCAATCCTACACTTCAACAGTAATTTTAATTCCACAATTCTAAAGTCCAGATCAATCCATTCACACATAATCAAGTTGTACAAAATATAGTACCATTTAGTACACATAAGTACTATGCTTCCGTATCTTAATTCTATACTCCAACAGCAACCATTATTCCAAATTTTAGGTTTCCAGCTATCTCCGTTCATCCAAAACCAAATTGTATCAAATATAGTGTCATTTAGTACTTTTCTACATATCGATACAAATTTCCAAAGATGACTCTATAGCTCAATCTTCAACAGTAATCTGAATTTCAAATTTTATGTTTCCAGCTCTATCCGTTCAAGCAAAATCAAAAAGGAACTAAATTTTGTACCATTTAGCACTTTTCGTACCAATAAATATGAATTTCCAATCCTACACTGCAACAATCATTTAATTCCCAATTCGAAGACTCCAGCTCTATCTGTTCACCTAAATCCAACTTGCACCAAATTTAGTACCATTAAGTACTTTCGTACACATAGGTACAATTTTTAAATCTACATCAATCCTGTACTTCAATACTAGTCCTAATTCCGATTTTCAGGAGTCCATCTCTATACACTCAACTAAATGCAAATAGTAGGGGAGAGGGGGCACCTTTGAACACTTTTTGCTTTCAAGCCTTATAAAATTTTTTTATTTTATAATTTTTGGTTTCTTATAAATTTTAACTAATAGGTACATATGTAACCTTTAAAATTAATATACATATGACATACTTTAAGCTTGATATACATATTTTATTACTGTTTTAATGGAGGAAGTAAAAGTGTTCAAAACTGCCCCCCAGGGGGGCACCTTTGAACAAAGCTTGGTATTTTTGAACGGCATGGTTTTTTACAGTTCTTCTGTTCAAATATATATGTAATTTATTCATACATATCAGAAATGCATTAATTCTTTAAAAAATATATAAAAAAATGTTCAAAATTTAAAAAATTTAGATCAAAAGTTATTAAAACATAAAATGACTTAAAAACAAAAATTAATATGGTGAAAAATACAGTTAATTTCGTAATCTTATTAGCCCATTCGAAATTTTGAGAAATCGAATCCAAAAGTTAAAAACTCATTTTTTACTCGAGTTTAATGGGCATGTTCAAAGGTGCCCCACCCATGGCATTTTACGGAAATTTAAAATAACTTTTTTTTGTAATAAATATATATGAAAGAAATTACATTAGTTATGTTTGAAATGATAGTTGCAATGCAAAAAATTTGTTTGACGAAAGAAAACTATCACAGAATTCTTCCTGCGCCCTTAGGTTAGGTTAGGTTTGGGATGTACGGCTGTTGTAACAACCGTCCACTCGGAGACTATGTCCATTGTGATCATCCATTATTTATAGGTGTACCTATAAAGAGAAAGAAGAAAAGATAGTGGAAGAGTAGAGAGAGAGGTAGTCAGAATAGGAGGGAGCGGAAGCGGAAGAGACATTATTTTAGCCAAGTCAATTTTTTGACAAAGCCTAGAATTAGGTTAGGGTCTATTTTGGAGAAGAAGACTAGATTATCAATTTCATAACATCCAAACTGTTTATGTCTTCTGCTGATCAGCGATGGACATTTGCAAAGAATGTGCTCAATTGTTTCCACTTCTTCTTCATCCTCACATAGACGACAGTAATCCTCTCCACTGGAGTCCCACTTAGAAGTGAGAGATCTAACTTTGCAGTGACCAGTAATGATCCTGCGCCCTTACAACCAAATGAAAAAAAGTTTACAATGACACTGAGAAAACATGGTCACGCAAGCCAAAGTGGTTTACGCATATAGAGAACAAGATTGCCATATCCAAAAATGTGGTTGCGGGTCGGAAAAATATTAAACCAAGATTTTATGAGCGCTGTTCAAAGGTGCCCCACGTTCAAAGGTGCCCCCTCTCCCCTTCTAAATTTAGTGCCATTTTGTACTTTTTATACACATAAGTTCGAATTTCTTAAACCATTTCCAAACATTAACACCACTTCCCAAACTTTATTCCGTATAAAATTTCAAGATTCTAGCTATATATGTTCAATAAATATACAATTAGAACTAAATTTAGTAATGTTTAGTACTTTTAGTACACTTATAAGTCAAATTTCCAAAAACCCTTTTGTACAGCTTTCTAACTTTCCATCAGTAACCCACATTCCAAATTTCAGTATTATAGCTCTTCGCGTTCGGCTAATACAGAGGGTACCATATTTGGTACATTTTAGAACATTTCCTACCCTTCTAGTTCGAATTTCCAAAAACCCAGCCTTATCACACGCCTACACACCAACAACAATTCACACTCAAAATTTCAAACTTCTAGCTTCAGTCGTTTCGTCTGGGCGATGATCTGTCAGTCACTCACTCACTTAACACTAAGCACTTTTATATATATATATATATATATATATATATATTTATAAATACATTTACATTTCCTCTTCCCCACAGTACATGCGGATAGTGAAGCCAGTTTTGTGGCACGTGACAATGATACCTACTGCAAAGAAAAAATACGCTATGAATGTCCACCATTTTTGGGAGCAGCCTGTAAACGTGAATTGGAGTTTCAACGAAAAGCGGTAATACACAATTTAACCGTGATATTTAATCGTAAACATTGAAAAAAACCAAAGAGATATATTTTTTATTTAATAATTTTATTTAAATTCAACCAAAAAGAAAATAAAGGGGAAAATAACTTTAAAATATATTTTAAAACTAGATCGGTTTCCATTAATTTCAAAAAGTGAAAGAACTTAATTATGGCTAGATATGTAATATAGAACTATATACTATATATGGTATTGAACAATAAGAAAATAAAAATAGAATTAAAAGAACAACAAACAAATATAACAACATTTTTTGTTTTGCCTGGGAAATGTAGTTACATTAAGTTTTGTTGAAAGATAATGAAATTGTATTTTAAATATAGATATGTGTTAATAAAATTTGTATAGTTTTTAAAAAATCGAAAATTGTGTTTTATTTTATTTTTTCTTTTAACGGTATAACCAATGTGTAATACGAAGACATGTGTGATTGTTTCAATTATAAATTTGCTTTGCTAAAAACATTAAAAAATATTAATAAGAACTACTAAAAAATATAATTATTTTTTAAAGCATTTATATTGAGCAAATTGTTTGCCTCTTTTTTTTTTTTTTTTTTTTTTGTTAAAATAAATTTTTTTGTTACACATTCAACTATTTTATACTAATTTTAAAATGATTTTACAATTTCCATTTTTTCTTTTTGTATTTCTGTTAATTTATCTACTTCATTTTAGATATGTTTAAAACACATTTGTTTAACTTATAACAAGATAAATATGAAATGTTTTCATTTCAACTATCAAAATAACAAATTATAAAAAATAAATTTCTTATATGTAAAAAAAATATTTTGCTATAATTAATAAAATATGAAACATTTTTGCATTCTTATTATTCTTTTCTTTTGGGGGTATTACTTTTTATTGATAGTTTTTTATTATAAATTATAAAAGAGTGAAGAAAGTAAAACCTATAATATGGAAGGTTATATATTTTTATATGCATTTACAATTTTTAAAATTTAAAATTTTTGAAAAAAAAAACAAATGATATTGCATGCCCATTAAAATATTCGATTTTTTGTATATAATTATGGATTTAAATGTAATTAGTCTGACGTATAAAATAATGTTGGATGGACTGGTGAAGGCAATTCAAAACATTAGAAACCTCGTCGAAATCATGGTGGTGATATTCAAGCACTAACAATTTGGTAGAGTAATTGATGAAAGACTGGGGATGATGCTGATATGGCTAAGGTGAATAATCTCACCATAAAACAATACGATTATCTTACATTCTACCCGAATCATAGATATGTACTATTCGAAGTCTACAACTACAAGATCATCTAGTTCGGTTTCAGAAGTGCAATGAAGTTCAGAACCTATCGGACCAGATACTTTGGAAATGTTAAATAAAGGCTTGCCGACAGCTAATGGAATTGAGCCGTTGACCACATGTCTGCGTCGGACGGACTTCCACTATATGGAAAATTAAACTTCTGTAGTATTGAATTTGTGTTTAGTGACTCAAATTTACTTGACCCTTTGTTTTCTTTTAACTCTCCCTCCCGCCCCTATCTAATCACCTTCTTCAACTATTTCAACTCTTCTATATTCCTACACACCAGATTCGAATATTTTCATAAACTCCAATATTTTACACAAGCACTAACGAATGGATGGCCAAAATAGATAGATGTACGCATTAGTATAAAACACTTCATGCAATAGATTTTTTTAATAAAAACTTTTCCGAACATTTAATAAAATCCAATTTTTAACAAAATATTGAAACAAACAAATTGAAAACAGAAACTTTAAAAAATCTATTGCTTACATTAAAAATATATTCATTTCATATAAATCATTTGTTTCCATTTTGTTTATAAATTTTATTTTTTTTTTTTAGGATGGAATTTGTACTTGAATTCAATGTTGTTGTTGTCGAATAAAGATGAAAAAAATGAAATGAGAGAATTTAAATTTTGTAATAATTTGTACTAGGGTTTCACCGGCAGGGTTAGCTGAATATCCACAAATTTTCTTTAAATATATAAACATAAATATTTATATGAATTTACAATTTATTAAAAGAAAAACTAATTGGCTGATTGTTGCAGAATAAAATGCATTACTTTCGAAAAAGTAATAAAAAATAAAATAGATGTAGACGAAGAAGAAAAACTATTGCTTATCAATGGCCATCATCAATCGCTGTCATTTGTTACCTGGGTTAAATCTAAACGACGTCGTCTTTTACTGGCTTGTTTTACAGCTCCGGATAAAGATGTTCCGATGATTTTTGAAACCTGCGTTTGTATTTCTTTATCCAGATGATTGTTTGTGGTAAACCATTTTGTTAATTTGGTTGCTTGTGTCGTGGTGGGACATCTTTGTTTTGGCGACTTCTTTAAATTCGCATATTGGGTGCTGGTCATTTGCTGTGGATTGTGTTGCTGATGCTGTTGGTGTCTTTTACTCGGAGTACCAGCCTCTGAGTTGTTGCCACTGTCCTCCTGAGAACTAGTTACAACATTTTGTGTTAAACCACCCTGAAAATATTTGGTAATTTTATTATTTTGTGTTTGGGGTTTTTGTGTCTGATGGACGGGTGAGATCTCGCCATTTGAGTGTAAACGCAAAACACTGCCAAAAGTACCATTATTCGTAATTTCGAATATCTCGTCTTCATTTACTGAGGACGGTGCCAGGGAACGTATTCTCCGCTCCTGTTGAGCTTTGGCCTCGGCAATAGCTTCTATTGGATGGTGAGGTACTATGGGTGCTTGTACTTTTGTCTTCTGTGCATTACTTCTCAATGGCTGGGTAGTACTGCTGCTCTTTGCCGATGCTGCAGATTCACTATCGTTCGTAGATTTGGTTTTTTGTTTCTTATTCGGTGGTTCCAACATATTCTCTAGAATATCTAAACAACTACGATCTCTGTGTGACTTGCCCTTTCCCTTGCTGCTGTTTTGTGTAGTTGACGTTGCATAATGTTGCTGCAATTGCTTAACTTCAGAGCCAAAGATTTTGAAGCCCTCAAAGGGTGCACTAGGCTCGTCGTTGATATTGGCATTTTGTGAACATGGCAATGGCGCCAAGTCGGAACAATTACTAAAGAGATCTGGCGATTTGGCACTAGCACGAGTGTTATGTTGGGCCAATAATTGTGAAAACGTTGGCACTTTGCTAGCCGCTGCTGTCGACTCCTCATCGGCTTTGTTTTGTACTTTCTTGGATTTTAAGGCTCTTGTGCGTCGACTGGTTGCTGTTGATTGTAGTGAGGAGCTTAGTGGTTCGTTTTCTTCTGACTCCGACAGAACAATAACATCATTCTTCTTAGCCTTTGTTGTGCTGGCAGGTGGTGTTGGCGGTACAAATACAACCTCTGAATCACCGAAGAAACTATTAATAGAAGAGGGTATTAGAGAATTTCTTGCTGACACCGGTGTTGGTGGTACAAGAAATGATGACGACTTCCTTTGAACGTCACTATTACTTTCAGAAGCAGCGCACACACTACTCAAACGTTGAGCACATTGTAATGGGTCAAAGTCTTGGGAGCATGTCATCGAGATAATAGGCGCCTGTGTATCAACAATTGTATCCTTTTCATTAACCTTGGTATTTTTCGCCGGTGTATTCGTTTTCGGGGCATTCGTCGTCTTGTCATGTTTGTCGTGGCTGGTCTTTTTTGTTTTGTTTGGTTTGTCATTGTGGAATAGGGAATTTTTAGCTTCATATCCACTGGGGCAACCAGCCGATCTTGTTGTACGTTTTGCACTTCGCGTATCTCTGGTGTAGATAACGACACGATCAACATCAAGTTCACGTTTTATACGCTCCAATGTTGCAGTCATTTCTTTTGTTAATGCGGTCTTTTTTGTTGACGATGCTGATGATGTTGTTGGTGTTTTTGTTTGTGGTGTATTATCTTCGGGCTCGGTTTTTATAACAATATTGGGATCTAGTGCGTTGGCTGTTTTATTTGCTCCATGTGGACTATTGTTTCTCGCCGTGAGATTTTTTTTGGTTCTACCCCTGCCAGGAGTTGGGGTTTCTGTTGATGAATTATTATCTGATGTTAAATCAATTTTCCTTATAGACCTTGATGTTCGTGGTGTTGAATTATTTCCTGATGATGTTTTGGAACTTTTATCTTTATCGTTCGATTTACCACCAGCATCTTTTGTCGAAGATTCTTTTCTGTGGTTTTCTCTGTCAGTAACTTCTTGTTTTTTCTTCTCCGATGAGGATGATCTTTCCTTTGTTCCACCGGTTTCCATAGCTCTTTGTTTGGGTGTTGTTGCACCTTCACCATCATTTTTGAGCCTTTTACAATGGTTATCGTCCGCATGACGAGTTCGACGTTTTGGCGTTGTTTCATTTTGAAATTTCAGGTTTGTTGCAACATCTGCTTTCAGTCTATCAATTTCATTGCGCACATTTTTATGCCGTTTTACCGTTTTCGTTGGTGTTGTTCTGTCATTTGACGTCTTTTCATGTTCATTGTTTCCATTTTGTGTCTTTGACGTTTCATCGTTATCCTCATTTTCATTGTCGCCTACTGTTTTCCTTGTAGTCACATCTTCGTTTGTCTCATTACTGTCGTCATCCTCTGTTCTCATCGATGTCCTTTCATCGGGTTTCTCATTATCATCGTCCTCTGTCGACAGGTCAACAATGTTTGCCTCATCACTGGGATCATTGCAAATTTCTGGAACATCTTCAGTATCCTCAGAATCAGATACTAACAACAATGGCGACATCATAATGACTTCATCGGTATTATCTCTCGTTGCAGGAGGTTGTTTGTCGTGTACAATGGGTGGTGGTGGTGAGTAATTAATAAAAGCTACTTCGTCATCAACATCACTAGCTGATTCCAATTGTTTTTCTTTTTCTCTTTCCCGTTCCCTCTCCCTTTCCTTTTCTTTCTCATCGTTAAGTTTTTGTTGTTGCAATTTAGCTTGTTCTTTCTTTTGCTGTTCCAGCAGTTTCTGTTTCTGTAATTCCTGTTGCTTGCGCCTTTGTCGACAATATTCCTCGAATAGTTCTTGGGTATCCCGTACCCTATCATCTTGACGATTTTGAGAAGATATCTCAACGCTACTGTTTTCGGAATTTGTCGAATTTTGCTTTTCACGAAATACATCCAAATTGATCTTGTAACGATCAGGCGTGACTAATGGTAAATGTTGTTCATACTGATGGCAATAGCGACGCAAACGAAAATTTCTATAAAGAAAAGAGAAATCGAAATCGGTTGTTAAGTATGGAATTTCCATAAGGACAATTCTAGATCGAAATAAGGACACTTATAGATCAGGCTTTCAGATCTACAAATGGTATACATATTATGTTGATATATCAGGGTATGAAGTACCATTTAGTTCAATCACTGAAAGCCCTTCGAAATTCTGAAGGAATATTCGAGTCCAGTAACATGAAACCTATTCATAATGGTATGTATATAGAGATTATGTAAATAAGTATAAAAGAGAAAAAAAGAAGTTGAATGCGCCAAGTTAATAAAGAAGCTACAAAATATAAATAATATCCTAAATCCATAAGTGACCTAATTCCGATTAAGAGAGACTTGACCTGCTATCAGCTATTCAAATTCCGTAATTTTAAATTAAGTAATTTTCTAAATTTGGAATGTAAAACAGTACAAGAATTTCCTCCACCCTAATCGAATGTGTTGACAAAATGAAGATATTTGGAACAATTTGCTCAACAATTGAAAGGCTCTGTAACAAAGATTTCAATAGGATTGCATCAAAAGTGAGTTGCTCTCACCTCTGATATGGATCCATGGGATAAACAAAATACTTGTGAAACTTTACCTACTGAGAAATAAAATGGGGGCATATGGAGTTCCAAACATATCGAAGGGGTGAACTAGTACAACTGTAAAGTGGGACCCAAAAGTAAAGGCAGAATTAAAACTCTTCATTATTAAGTGTAAAATTCCAATATATATATTTGACCGATTTTAGATAAATGGTGCACCAAAGACCCAAAGTTTGGCGAATTTATACGAAAATTTGTATAATGTTCTGAAGTTAGTATAAAATATTGTGTGGAAAGTTTCGCTGAAATCGGTACAGATTAAATATAGCTCCCATATATATGTTGCACTAAATTATCTTTAATTTATAGAAATTTGTAGAAACTGGTGCACCAAAAAAAAACGTGTGTTCGATTGAGATTTTGCCCAGTGCGCTGTGCTGCAGCATACCAACTGACCGAATAAAATGAAATTTAGCATAGATTGCATAATGGCATGTGTATGGATTGATTGATTGATTTTACCAAAAGTGGTAATGAACAGATGCATCCTAAGGGCCCCGTTCGATTTTACTACTTTCCCTACTAGTTTTACATATACTATTCAACATACTTGCAATAATCAGCCAAACGTTCCCGTTTAAGAAAATATTCCTCCAAATCGACTTTCTTGTATGTTAACTCCTTGGCATCGGGCAGTTTAAATTTCTCTTCGAAATGTTTAAAATTTGCATAACGTGGTTCCAAACGTCCACCAAGTTTAAGAATATTATGTAGAAGTTTTAAGTCGCCCTAAAAAGAAAATATACATATATAATAGTATTTATTTAAAATATATCTATTTATTTTGCGTTTACTTACTGTTATATCAACACTTGAGATCAATATATTAATTTTACGTTCATAATGTTTCAACAACATTGACATGCAAAATGTATTGTTCAGCATTTGCCCCCGATTATCCAAAATGATATAATCGAAATCGAATTTACTTAAATCATCAATGTTCCTCAGCGTACTCCATTTGGCAAGGTATATATTGTGTGGAGAATCGGTAGTATCTGAAAATCAAATCGGAATGTTGATGCATTGAAAAAGAGGTGAACAAAAATAATAATATTAAAAATAATTAAAATAATAATACTAATAATAGATTAAAATTTGTTTCAAACACCTATTATTTTTCATATAATTACCTATTACCTATTGTTGGTAAGAAAAATACTTATAAGAGAAATATCATATCAGATAGAATTCAGGAAAGTCTATAGCCAACTCCACTATCACCCTATTTGGATTGCTGTTATTTTGGGTTAAAAGATACACGGCTGTCAAATTAGCCATCGCTTTACTCGGTTACCAACAAATATCGAAAAAAAATAAAAACTTTTTTCATATAAAATTTATATTTAACAGGTAATTTTTCAGATTATCAACTCAGTCTCAATTACTAAAAATGATCAAGGATTGTACTTTTGGAATTGACTTTCAAGAAGAGTGAAAATAACACTCCACCCAAAAAGATAATTACAGCAAAAAAAAATCCCTTTACTTGAGTTCTATAGAGAAAAGAGAGGTGAATAATATTAAAAATATATATCCCTAATACACATGTGTATGTACTTAATCTACATTCGTGAATTGTGAAAACCGCACATTTATACATATTTAACATATAATAATTAATGGACATTAAAACTACGAATTGCGATAAGACTACTGTAAATATTAAAATAAAATTAGAGATTTTTCATATCGCCCTATTTGCATGAATGTATTTGTGAGTATGTATATGCTAAAAACCAAAGTTGAACTCTATAGAGGCTAATTTTATGTTTATTTAAAATTATAAGGATATTACCTAAATAAAGTGATAACGGCAGGTCAATTGTAAATCATTAAACAAAACTACATCGGGTTGGTGAATGAAACACTGCTTGTTAACCGCAACGAGAGTAGATAAGAGAGCCCACTAAAAATCAAAAATGTCCCTTAACCATTTTGGGGTTTGTCTACTAAGACTCACAATGTTTAATATTGTTGGAAATTTGGTAAAGATATGCTACAGAAAAATGTTTTATTCGAAGAAATAAATTCAAATTTCCCACACTTTATTCGCCACAATAAACTCAAATAGATATGAACATTGAATTGGATCCATTTAACCCTCAACTGACTCATTGAAAGGGCATTTTCGTTCTCCTTTTGCAGAAGTGATTGAAAACTCATTCAAAACGAGATTAAAGGTGCGCAGAATATTCTACAGAAATGTTCCCCATAATGTTTTACTATAAGTTTCAGAAATTTTTAAGAAATTCACAGTATAAAATTAATTGAAGTCGGCATCAAAATTTTTATTATTACAGATAATTTTATTTTTTAAATACAATACTGTTGGAAACGTCCGATAATAATAATTTATTAATGAAAAGAATAGAATAACCGCTTAAATATATACATTTTGTTTAAATAATATAAATTTACTCAACTTTAATACAAATTAATTGAAAAAATTTTCAATTTTTTTAATTTTATACCACAAACTTGTTCAAGAGTTGGATATAAGACATAAAAAAGGGTCTTTTCAAGAGTTTTGATAATTTTCGAATTATGATTTCTTGAAATCCTTGCATTTTAGGTATATAGTGTCTTCGGCAATATTACTGATAAAATACCGAGGAATATTTTGGCATACAACTTTAACCCTCAACTGACTCATTGAAAGGGCCTTTTCGTTCCCCTTTTGCAGAAGTGATTGAAAACTCGTTCAAAACGGGATTAAATGTGCGTAGAATATTCTACAGAAATGTTCGCCATAATGTTTTACTATAAGTCTCAGAAATTTCTAAGAAATTTACAGTATAAAATTAAATGAAGTCGGCAACAAAATTGTTGTTATTATAGATATAGTTATAGTTTGTTTTCGGACGTGTCTTCTTTTTTTAGCCCCTCTCTCATAAGCTGTTGGAATTTCCCGGTAATTAAAAAAAATTGAAATTTGTCGCACAGTGTTATTCATCGGTTTGGTTTCTACTAATCACATCGTTATTATTTCATAACATCCGTACTTTTACATCCTAAGCGGAATCACATATTTTTAGAATGCCTGTTTTATTTTTTTGAATTTTAGTAAAAGTCACTCGATTCGATATAATTACTTATGTTTGTAACAGGCATAAGGATACGAGATAAACCCATGGTTCCTATTGAGAATATGCACATAATCACATTCTGAGTCGATTTATGAATGTCCTTTCGTCTGTTAATGTTAAATTGTAAACAAAGTACAGGTCGCATTTATGATTCGAATGAGATGAAATTTGACACAGCTCACTTATTTGGTCCAAGGACCCACCCTATTGAAATTGGTGATTTTGTTCGATTTTGGGCAAATGGAGCACTAAACTCGCAATATATTTTCGATTGAAACAAAGTTTTGAAATGAGTACAGAAGTTTCGTTGAAATCGGTTCGATTTCAATTTTACTTTCAATTACCTTTTCATTGCAACTTCGATCATCTCGAAAGATAAATTAATAAAAACATTTACATGAATGCTCCTTCGCCCCAAAAAGGGCAGAAAACTTAAAAAACTCAATTTATTTTCTAAGTCAGCCAATCGGAGAAATGATCGAGCTAGGAGCTAAAAATCGACCATAAAACTATTTTGAACCATTCACACAAAGGTGGATTCAAAAAGAAGCTCGATGTTTGGGTGCTACACCAATTAACAGAAAGAAATAGGATGGATCAAATTTCCATCTGCGAAGCCTTGGCCAAACGGAATGAGATAGACCCATTTCTTAAACGGATATTGAAGGAGATGAGAAAAGCAGCACATACGATAACCCTGTGCGAAAACGATCGTGGTCAAAGAGCGGTGAAGCATCTCAAACGGTGGCCAAACCAGGACTAACGACCCGGAAGGTTCTGCTATGCATTTGGTGGTACTGGAAGGGGATAATTTATTATGAGTTGCTTCCATATGGCCGAATTCTAAATTCTTGTCTCTACTGTCAACAACTGGATCGTTTGAAGATAGCAATTGACCAGAAACGGCCAGAATTGGCCACACATCTACAGTGACTCGCCAGAAACAAGCGAATATAATATTTTTCTTGCATTGCAAAATTTCTTTAATGAAAAAAAATGGTATTTAAGGATGATTATGATAATCGACTACTAGAGTTTTTTGCAAATAGAGAGCAGGACTTTTATGAGAGAGGCATTATGAAGTTACATTTAAAATGGCAACAAATCATATACAAATCGTATACGCGACAGAATCACATTTTAAATAGAGAAGTTTTTTAAAATGCCAACCTTTGGTCTGGGATATAAGTCTGAAATTCCTTTTAAATATAAAAGGTCGTTTACATTTAACCGGATTTGGTTAACCCAGTGGGTTTGAATTTTCAATTCCTTTGAATATATGCCAAATAAATCCTCATAAAGTATAATTTATAAAAAATATGAACATTTTCGATAAAGTAATTTCATATTTGCAATCAGAACATTAACAGCTTGAAATTAACACCCTTATTGGATTCTGAAAATAGGAAAATACAAAGCTGGCTGTATAACTTTGGAGAACCATATTCCAGGAAATATGAATTTTCGTAAGAAAAAACAACACCTCTAGATCTACTTATGGTACAAATTTCAAAACAGGTCTTGAAGTATACCAAAGACAACATAAATATATAGCAAAATACAGCAATGCCATCAAAGGTATTGACGAAAACCTCACTAAATCATAAAAATTTGCTTGTGACATATTATTACGTATTAGGAAGCTTCTACTGTTTTAATTTTTGAATTTCACAACAACTACCTATTTTTAAAATCAAACAAAAACCACACTTTCATTTATGTAAATCTATATAGCCATCTGAAATGAATATTAATACAGTGTGAAGAAAATGTGGCAAACATAAAGAAAGAAAAAAACAATTCTTTATAAACATAAAATTATTTGGAATACAATACATCCAACAATTCAGGGAGCAAACAAAGAACATCAACAGTGAACTAACTGGTGAACAACATTCGACTAATCACAAATCTGTTTAAAAAGCTTAAGTAAATTAATTAAAACATTTCAATTCTTACCCTTATTATCCTTTATGACGGTAACACTACAATTCGTCAGTACACTAAAATGGAATTCCCAGCCATGAATGTAGATGTCATCGTTCTGTACCACAATCAGTGATTTTTTATTGCCACAAGCCGAATCCAAGAGCACAGCCACGGCAGCTTGTTTGCCCAAACCACTCTCATCGTTGTAACAGCAAAATTCTCCCTTCGCCAGAAAATTATGCATAAACTGAATGGCATCGACCTGAAATTGTTTAAGATATTGCCGGACATGTCCCAGAATTTGGGCGCGAAACGATAGTCGCACCGGAACCGGCGGATGATCGGCCACAAAATGAAACATTTTGTAATTTCTACCTCCCGGAGTTGTGAGCAGCTAGGTGTTGCCAGCTGTGTGTATGGGGGTCAATACCTTTGCTATTGTTGCTGCTATTGTATATAGTGTAACGATAGATAAATGGCCACCAATATGTAAAGTAATTTTAAATAGAAGAATATCACAAACATGGAAAATGAACCGATTAGCAAGGACGAAGGAGTGTCTAAATTTTCCTGATTAATTCGATATGTGGTAAAAAACGGCATATGTATTTTTATTTTTTGTATTATTTCTTGTTTTGAGGTTTGTTGGAGGCCGTTGGTGCTCTTCGTTCTACAAGTTTCTATTTTTCTATGTTTTTATGTCTTTATGTTTTTATTATTGCCTTTGGCAATTTGTCTCTGTTTTACGTTTTTCTTTTTGTAAGCGTATTTACAAAAATGAAATATTTTAGATTTCCGCACACACGCACAAAATTAAGGTTTCTCTTCTCCGAGATTAGATGGGCAGCGAACGAAAATTAGAATTTGCCGTTAATTTGTTTAATTATTATTTGGTATTTCGATAAAGTTTATTTAGGTCAGTCGTCATTTGAAGCGGAGAGAAATTGAAAAATGAAAAATTAAACGTAGACGTAGCTCTTCTTTGTTACGTGTGGGTTGTTTTTGTTTTGTAGCGCTACGTCTTTGCTCTGCTGGCGTCGCTGCTTGGTTTTCTTGGTGTGACTCTGTTGATTTTCTTTTTTGTTGTTGTAACAGTATTTTTGGAGCTATGCCTTCATTCGGTATTACAACGTGATATTTTGTAGTTTTGTTCGGAGTTGTTGTTGTTGCTGCTGCTCGTTGTGGGTAGGTAGAAGGAGGTTTCCCGCCATTTTTTATTTTCTCACTGCAGCACCCGCAGAGAAATAATTCACTTCACTATATTATTCTTTTAATACACTTTTCTTCATTGATATTAAACACCCACAAAATATACTATTTCAATTCGATTCTTTTTTATCTTATATTTGTTTTAATTCAATAATTTCTATATTAAATAAATAATTCCTTAACAGAATATTGTTGTAATTTTATTCCTCAATATGAGTAAAAGGCACAAAGTGAAAAACGAATGAGAGCAAAACAAAAAATCAACTTTCTTCTATATACGTTTTGACGTACTGTTCGATGAACACAACCTTCTTGCTAGATTTTTTTTTCTCGACTGAAGAAAAATTGAAAAACGTTCCACGTGCTAACGAATGGGAGGCACCAAATGGAAATTCAACAGGCACATAAGGGCACATTTAAACCGAAAGTGTTTTATGGAAAATCACAATTTAATCATTCTTTATGTTGTTGCTACCTATATATTTACTTCAACAAATAATCATCGTGATCATTTATAATAAACTCGTATCACAATTCGCCATTTCCTATGTTTATAAGTGAAAGAGATCCGGACTTAGATTGCCAAATATCTTTCAATGCGATAAAATAAAGGTACGTTTATATTCACTAAATCCACTCGATCTCAAATGTCAATTCCATAGCGTACACGTCAAATATAATCCACTGGATTTGTGAACTGGATTAACATGACGTATACGCAACGAAATTGACGTTTGAGATCGAGTGGATTTAGTAGTCAAAACGTAGCTTAAGGCGTGTTTAGGCTATAGCTTTTATCGTGATAAAGTGCATTATCTCGATTTTATTGCAAAAGAGAGCTGAATTTACCTCGATTTACCATACAAAATTAAATCCACTTAATATATCGATTTGCTCTAAATCCTATGATAAATTGAGATAATTTCAAATACAACCTTGCTTTTGTCCAAAAATTAATCGTTTCTCCTTAAAGCATGATTTAAAATTAGATAATGTTCAAAAAAATGCTTGACAAAAATATGTTAACTGCTGAAAATTAATGTTTTGTTTGCATTCATAATAAATATTACTATAATTTAGAACGACAAATGTTTTTATGCATTTCTAACCTACTACAGAGCAATTTCTAACAAATTTATGAAATTTTTGTTTGAAAAATTGCTACAGACTAGTAGTTATGATCTAGTCTAAACTGTTATGATTTGATATCTCGATTTACAAATCGAGTCTATTTAGATGGCATAATCTAAACACGTCTTTATTATCCTGATTTAATTTGGTTTATCATAGACGACATCCTATCCTGAATCGAGATATTTCAAATACAACCCTGCTTTTACACAAAAACTAATTACTGCTCCATAAAGTATGCTACAAAATACCTTACAATTCAAAATAGTTGCTTTTACACAAAAATAATTACTGCTCCATAAAGTAACAAAATACTTACAAAAATTGCTATTATTATTGTATTTCTAGATTCTAGAACAGACATTTTGTGATACAGTAGACATTTTTGGTATTCAAAACTAAGGTATCCAAAAGTCACAATCAAGATCTATTAATAAGATCACCCAAGACGTTTTATAAATTCGAATTGTCATATTTATATTGACATGAGTTTACGTTGGAATCAAATCAGCTGGGTTACTGTTACCTTTTATAATTGTACAATGGTTCGTAAGGGAGAAAATTAAAATTTTTAGGATAAATCAGTTGCATTTGTGTTTATTTATTTAATCATACCAAGCCTCAAGGTAGATGTGTATTTTTTCTCTTTTTTGACTAACTAAAGCTACTTAATTGGCTAGATTGCGACAGAACAGTTGTTTCATAAGACGAGTTAAAAAAAATTTCCAGGCGCGTCTTGTTCGCAGTTCTTCCAATTTGAAAGTTCCTAAATGTTGTCTCCCACTTGATATTTCTATCGAATTAATGATCTTCCCCCCTGCAGTTCGATACGTCTGACTATGTCGATGTCCGAGAATAGATGGTACAACTCATGCTTCATTCGACGGCGATATTCACCAGCGACGGAGATCTCTCAAAAACTCCAAGAGCAGCCTCATTTGCTTGCGCAAGTACCCATGCTTCAGATCCGTACATCAGCAGGGGTTGTATAAGCGTTTTGTTGATATTAGTTTTGTTTATGGCGGTATCGAGGTATAAAAATCGTTCACTACCTCGAAGCTGTAGTTTTCAAGTTCCACAGTTGGTTGGAGAATTTGGACTTCCGGCCAAATCCACTCCAGTATTGAAATATGTGTAGAAAACGTTATTTTCCCGTGATCCCATATATCATTCTAAGAAGAAAATTCACAACCTATATTAGTTTGAAACTATCAAACTAGAAAGATTTTTAAAATAACTCTATAATATTTATATAATTATATATATTCGCCATGCACTTTTGCCCACAATTAAAAAGTACCAACAGTTAAGTACCATCACTAGTTTATTTTTACTACCTATTTCAAGATCAGCTGATCTTGTTGGAGCCGGTAAAAGTAAATATTTATTAAATAGTAAAATATTATTTGTAAACAACGACTCAGCGATGGCCTTTGCTCGTGTCTTCAAAAATTCCAAATGTAACATAATTGGCATGATCCATGTGGATGCGTTGCCAGGTATTGCCAATGAATTTGGAGCATCGCCCAATATTAATTGTCATTATAAATAATTTTAGGAACTCCCCTATACAAAGGCAACTGGTCGGAGATAATCGATAAAGCTAAATATGAAGCGAACATTTATCAAAAATATAAAATGGTATTAATCACAAATTGTTCCAAATACATATGGCTCCTCTTAGGTTCAGGTAATAATACTGAAGAAAAATGTATGTGATTTGTATGTTTTTATTTTCAGGATTCAATACTGATAGAAAACATGCATGACATTCCTTATGTTCAACACCGGCAGTTTGGACCCGAAACTACATCATGTATGACCAGAATATGTCAAGAAGTTCGTAATATTATTTCGAAAGAATCTCGAAGAATACCACTCGGTGTTCAGGTATTAGCCTGTGGGAATAAACAGGCATTAGCTATTGCCAAAGCATGTGATTTGCAATATATACGAGCAGAGGGTTTTGTATTTGGTCATGTTGCAGATGAGGGTTATACCGATGCTTGTGCTGGGGAAATTTTACGATATAGAAAATACATTGATGCTGAAGAAGTATTGATCTTTACGGACCTTAAGAAAAAGCATAGTTCACATGCAATTACACAAGATGTGACACTATTGGAAACAGCCAAAGCAGCAGAATTCTTTTTATCTGATGGAATTATAATAACCGGTGAGTGTGTGTGTGTGGATATAAATGATTTAAATTGATCTTTAATAAATACTTTTTGAATGAATTATCTAGGCAATTCAACTGGAGATGCGGCTAAGCCTAAAGATTTCAAGGATTTGAAAGGAAAAGTTAATGTCCCACTACTGGTGGGTTCTGGAGTAACACTGGATAATATCGATGATTATTTTGAGTATATTAGTGCTGCCATTATAGGTTCACATTTTAAAAAACAAGGACTATGGTCAAATGATCTATGTGAAAAAACAATCGAAGCATTTATGTCTAAAGTTTTAGAAATGAGAAAGTGAATGTTGCATTTATTTAAGAGGGATATATCTTGTATCCTGCGACTGAAAATAACAAAAAGTTTAAAAAACAAGGACTATGGTCAAATGATCTACATATGTGAACAAAAAATCGAAGCTTTTATGTCTAATGTTGTAGAAATGAGAAAATAAATTTGCATTTATTTAAGAGGGATATATTTCGTATCCTGCGACTAAAAATATACCAAAACTTTATTTTTTTGACAGTCTCCGATTCAAATACAAAATATTTGCCCAACTGTTGGCTTTTCGAATGTGAAAAATAATTTTTTGATGTAAAAGGGTTTGTCTACATTTTCCAAATACAGCCACAAAATCGGATGTGGATTTGCAACACATCATTAGAATTGAGCGGCGTGTAACGCCTGCAGGAAGTCTCTAATACGAGCGTGTCGCTTAAATCTTCCTTGATGATTACTACATGCATTTTCTATGCCCCTTCTGGCATCCAGTAAGTAAAAATGTATAATTTTAACATTTAGTCACTTTGTAGCTATATTAAATTCTTAGGAAACTTAAGCTTCAGTGATTCCTAAAAGAGATAAAAAAGCTGATGAACCGATAGTGGATGTTTCCGATTTTTTATCGGAGTAAACTTCAAATTTACTGTGTTGTGATTTGGGTTCGACATGGACATTCAATGCAAACATTAAGTTACAAATTAACACAAAAATGTTCCAAAAAACACTTCAATTATATTCAGTCACAAGTTCTTTTATTATAAAAATGTATGTATCTTAATTTTCCATTGCAAATTAAAAAAACTTTCAACCATCGCGGTTTCAAAAAGACGTGAAGGAAAGAACGATCAAATACTAATAAATATTTTTCATAATTAGGCATTCTACTTCAATAATATATGTATGTGTGGTTGTATACTTTTTCAAAGTCCAAATTTTGTATACTAAAAATATCAACATAATAAGTAGTTAGAAATATATAAAATGTACCCATCATAAAGTACTGGAGATAAAAAAGTAATAGCTAAAATTTACTGGGCATATGTCTTCTTTTTAAAAAGAAAATGTTGCTGTAGAACCTCTCCATATTCATTCCTAGTTTTCTAGAACAAATTTGCAAAGAAATCGTAAATTTTTTCACGCAATGAAGCTGAATTTTTGCCGTTTCCTTGGCTCATATCTCGTTGAAATTCAAATGTTGGCTGTTCATATAGTGCATCCAAAGAATCATCAAATTTGACACGTTTCTTTCGAGGCGGCGAAGAAATCTTAATATTTGTGAAAGTATTTCTTAAATTTGTAGGCGAATCACAATGGCTTTTATTACTGCCATTACTGGCCCGAAGTGGAAAAAGAACATCACGAAAATTGCCACCTCCTTCGATGGGTATTTCATTGTTGAGCAGATCTTCACGTTTTACCATTGCATTTGGTATTGTGGTATCAACATTGTGGGCTTTAAAATAAGATTTCGAATCGGAATAACGGCTGGCGAAACCATAAGTGGGGTCATTATCTGAAAGGCGATTTGCTTGTTGTTCCTGGCCTGGAGCAGGGCCGGACAATGCACCGGTGTTCGTGTGCGTAGTTGTGGTGCGCGATTGTGTTTTCTTCAATATGCCACGTGTTGTGGCACGCATTTTATCATTTGATATAAATTTATATAATTTTGAGAGGCGTTTTTCCGGACTCATGCGTACCGCATTTTGCTGTTGTTCAGTCTTATCGCGCAATATAGATTCATGTTCTTCTTCAATGTCTTCTGGAGCTTTGCGTTTTGTTGCCTTTGCCATAGCTGAATTGTTATTTGTTATTCCTTTGGGGTTGCTGGTATCAGTTTTACGTTTATTACCACCACCGAAACAATTTGTAGCGGTAAATGAATTTTCCATTTCATCTTCAGAATCAATAGTTCTATTTCTAAAAATATTTTCAAAATCCTGTAAATCAAAAGAATACGATTAACAAAAATAGAAAATAACACCCAATTTATTGCAACGACTTACCGATTTCTTTTGTTTCGGACTAAGCATATAATCTTCGCCAAAGTTTTTCACCTCCTTCTTTCTCAACGGTGTACGTTTGCTACTTTCCTTTCGCAGTGTCTTACGGCATTGAATGTGCAAATCAATGGCGTCCCTTATGAAACCCACCCAAATACGACTCAGCTGCAAATCGCTAGAACTAAATATAATGCCATCACTCTGGCAGGTTATTTTAAATGAGCCCGGTAGCAGTTCATACACCTTGCACTTCTTCAGGGGAAAGATACAACAGCATTCCAGGGAATTTTCCACAACCGTATTGGGGGCACGTTCCTTGAGTATTTTACAATACATAAATATGTCTGAGGTTAGGACACAATAGCGCTTAATTTCACTGCCATTTCGTGTAACTTTATTTAGAACTCCTTCCTTTATAACCTTCCGTGATGGCTTGACAATATTCGGTGTTCGATTTACCAAAGAATTTTGTATATTTATTAACATTTGTGTCACCTCCTGATCTTCCACACAGGTATTGATGTGAGATACTGTATTTTCGATTTGTTTTACCGATTCCTTCAGTAGCTTGAAATCTGCATCTGCCGGGCTTGTGTAGAGTAACACTTGTTCCAAGAGCAGCTTGTATCTTGGTACTCTTTGTATTGGAGCTATCATAAGGGAATTCAATTTGCGCTGCACTTGGGGACAGAATTCCGTTGTTTCCAGAAATTTTCGAAATGCAGCATTTTTCGACGTAAGTTCCTGCAGCACAAGCAACGCATGGCGGTAGTCAAAAGCATACACCGAATACAATTTGAAAAATGGTGCCATTTTCAGGAAGGCCTTGGCAACATTATCCATATCTGATTCGAGTTCCTTGAGAAACTCCCCATTTAAATTATGTATCATTTCTATTTGACCGAAGAGCGTGGTATGACTGACTTCATCGATGATCTTTTGTTCCTTTAGAGGCTTTACAAAATAATCCATAAGTAGTTGTAATTGCTGAAGATACGTTTTTTCCGATGTAACAATTTCATGTATGGCCTGCAAGCGAAATGTTTTTCTTTTGTCCATTTCGGTGTTGGGAGAATTGATGGGCGAACGCCCTGTTCCACCAGCTAACATTGAACAAACTAAAAGAGGAACTCCATTGCATCAATATCAAAGAGTCAACACACGCACTCGGTTTATACATTTACCTTTGTTCCTTGTTTTCACTGTCAGTAGATTACGCTCCTGCAACACCTGTCGCAGTTCGCGGCTAAAACTCAAAGGTGTTTCTGGAGTTCTGGGTGAAGCCATTTCGTTAATGGCATTACTGCACTGTCTCTTGATGGGGGTATACATATTTTTTTTATTTATTATTGGATTTTTACATAAATGGCAATCGGATAAAATATAAAACACTATTTGAATTGAATGTATAAAGAATGCTTCCTGTGGCATACAGCAACCTTTAATGATGATGATGATGCCGGGGCTTCTTTAAAACAATCAACTGCTGCAATTTGAAAATTAGTGGTTACTTGGAAGGTAACCACATGGCAGTGGTAGTACTCGACTACTATTGGAGTGTTTACACGTAGAGTCTACAAATAATTGAAGCCAGTTTACATGTATGGGGTAAGTGTACCAATAGTCGGCACTTTAAGGATTTTCGCATTTAAACTTTTTACCATCCCGAGTGTATTTTTTCTACTTTACTGTTTCAAAATTTTGTTTACTCCAATTCAAATTTGTTGAATTAATTTGTGTTAAAGTGGAGTATATTGACAATTAGGTAAAATAGTGCCTTTTTGCCAATAGTCGGCACTTATTTCCAATTGTCGGCATGTCGCATTTTAGTTAAAAAAATTATATATTTAATCGATTTTTCTGTTTTTTATATTAATTATTATCGGAAGTTGGCACTAGTGTTGTATTGAAAAAAGTTATATAAAATAATTTTATTTATTAAAATATAGCAATGATAAAATATTGTTTCGACTTTCGGAACCAATTCTCGGCATAGGTTAAGGCATGGTACAATAATACAAGGTAGGACAGCTTGAGGTGAATAACAAAAAACCAACTATGCACGTGTGGCTTCTTCTGCCAAAAATAAAATAAATATACGCATCAAGTGATCGTGTTTATTTGACATTTTTTCAACACAAAACTAAAAACGCTAAAAATGAACGAAAGTTTATGATTTCTTCCCAAAATCCAGTAGGGAATAGCATCAAATGTTTGTTTCGTCCATAACAAAGTAATTACTTTCAGACGATCGTGCTAAAAACATAATTTTCATTTCAATTGAACTTGAATATATTTCAATTTATTTTGAATTTATTTGACATTGTATTCAAAACAATACACACATACACAAAATATGTATTTTGATTTGATGGAACAAATTACCTTGAAAAAATTTGTAATTAGTTGGTAGTTGTGCCCTACCTTGTAATAATTATACCATGGGTTAATGAACGTTTAGATTTACGAAATCCACTCAATTTCAAATGCCAATTCCATTGCGTATACGTCAAATATAATCCACTGGATTTGTGAACAGGATTAACGTAAGGTATACGCAATGGAATTGACATTTGAGATCGAATGGATTTATAGGCTAAACGTAGCCTAAATTACACATTTCTGGTTAAAGGAATTTAATGCGGTGTACACACTATCATTTTTGAATGGCACTCTTGCCCAAATTTTGCTTGTTTGATAGTGTGGCCTCACATGTTTGTCATTCATCAGGCAACCACAAAAATATTTATGGTTGTTGGACAGTCAGTAATCGATAAAAAGTCGAAAGTCAAAAATGATAGTGTGTACACCGCTTAAGATTAAAACCACTCAAAACTGACTTTTTTATAAATTATTCGGTATTTAGAACTAATATTTATCAGTTTTTCCAATTTTGAGCAAAAATTATCGAAATGCCATAATGTATTGTTTGCGAAAATTATTTGAATGAATGATCTTCCGTAGAATTGATCACCAACTAGAATCGACTGACAAATTCCACAATTCACAGTAAGGATTTCGCAAGAAACGTTCTACGAGAGATAACGTCACATGTTTATGGTCAGCAGCATTACTTGCAAAACGGGATTGCAAATACCTAGTAGCAACGTTTCTTGACATCAGAAACGCTTTCGAAAATGTCTATATAAACATTCTAATTGAAAAATATAAAAACCTTGGCATAAGTGATCATTCGTGTTTAATTTTACATCGCCTCTTTCAATGCAAAGTGCCATGGCATAATTATATAAGGTAGTCTTATGCAGTCATATATTTCCAATTTTTCCATAAATTTGCCTTTGACAGTATTCAGATTAGATTTATATGTGATTCACGCAAATATTTTAAAATGTTGGTGTCAAATAAGAAACAAACGGTTTGAAGAATATAAACTCTGACGACATATATTATGAATAGTTTGTATGAACGCATGGTACAATTATAAAAGGTAACAGCAAATCCCAGCTGATTTGATTCCAACGTAATACTAGTGTCAATATGAATTTGACAAATTATGTTTTTAAAAATCACCCAACAGGAAAATTGGGAACGCATACATATTGAAATTGTTCTTTATTAATGTGCTTCCGTATTCAATTTACTCAATCTGCCTGCTGGGAAAGTTTGAGGAAGCAAATCTTTCTTGAAGGAATAATATATTTTCATACGTGTTTCACATATATATGGCAATGGCTCGATTAAAGGAAAGATGTGGAAGCGATAGAAATATAAATTTGATAGATTTTCATTCATGTTTTCAATTTTTATTTTGAGGATTCGAAAATATTTCATTTTCAAAATAAAAATAATTTGATGATAATTTGTTTGTTTGTTGACATTTTTCTGTCAAATGAGTTGACACTAGTAGAACTTACAACAACAAATTTCCATGTGGTTGTTGTATCGTTTTTTGTACAACAACACTTGCTGTTACCTTTTATTATTATACCATGGTATGAACGTATTAATTCTTTTTTTTAATTCATGTACGTAAGTCCGCTTTTCCACAGGCAGATTTTTATTTGGAAAATTTTTTGTTTTCTCTTTTGAAATTTTCGCTTGCTTTTCCATTAGCAAATTTTTCTTTGTCAAATTTGCGAATCAAAATACAAAAGAAAGAAAAAAAAAACGTCAAAAGTGTTTGCATTTTAAAGATTTTTTTAATATTTTATTTATTTTTTATATATTTTATTATATAAATTGCAAAAATTAAAAATTAAATTTCACTTGCACAAATTAAAACAACAGGTTTGTAAACAAAAGCCGGCTGTGTGTCAGTAAAGCGAATAGGTTCAAAAGGAAATGTTAACAAAATTGTTTTCAACGAACAGAGCAAAGCAGAATTTGCGTGTACGGCAAATTCTGAACAGGCAATATTTTGTTTTTCTTCCTCGCACCCCTCTCGCCTACAAACTCAGTATTTGCCAAATAAAAATTTGCCTGTGGAAAAGCAGACTAATTGTGAGAGCGAACAACGTTATTCAAATGCATGTCAGAACATTGCATTATCTGATATTCACAACTGATGGAACGCTTTTAATTTTGGTCGGTACATCAAATTTGTAAATAAACAATTTTAAAATTTTGCGAATTTTGATTGTGCGGCACAATTCTTACAATTGTTAAAAAGATTTTGATTGTTGATAAAAAAATGTCTTCCTTGAAGTGTCCAGGTTAGTTATTGTCATTAGTCAGACTATTTTCAAGAAACTTAGTTTCTATTCATGATGTTTTGAATTTGAGAACATCGTGACAAATATCTATGGAAAAGTTCTTTTTAGGAATCAAATATTTTAAATCATTCTGAAAACGCATATTTAATTTTACGAGGAAGACCATATGCGTCTCTATAAATTCCAAAAAATGCAGTTGCCTGTAATTACATCCGATTTCATGTAAATGACATGCAAAACATATCACGTCTGTTTCTTTGGAACATGCAACTTTTCGCATGTTCAATGGCTTTGTCGCAGAGGTAAGGATAGATCTGGAGAGAAAGCCTAAATATAAAAGAGATGTGGAATTAGCTAAAGCTAAACTATGTGGTCTAGGTTAGCTTTAGGGGTGGAATGTGTGCTGTATTGAAAACCCTATCCAATTGCACATTCGTTAATTTACAGATATACAGTTCCTTTTTTTGGAATTTTGAATCTTTGAAATTGCTGATTGTGTGAATAAAAAAAATATATATAGAAATTTTCAATTTCTCTTTCAGATGAAGTTCTTCATTTTCCCAATAATTCGAGTATTGAAATTTCATATACAAATGCCTTATCATATTCCAAGTGTACAAGCTATGATACCAAACTTATGAATCAAGGTTTTCTTTGGCATCAAATCGTGGTGCAACATAATTCCAGATCTTTGGGAATGGAAGATAAAAATAAATTATTAAAAGCCTTATTCGAAGCCGTTGAAGGTGAAGAATTGTATCCAGTGGCCTATAGGGTAAGTGCTATGCCGTATTGCATATACGCATGTAATTAAAAATATTTCTGAAAATAGCGTAACGCATACGAAGATCGTTTCTTGGTACGTCAGTGTCAGCCGGCATTGGATAAACTTTTTGAAAAAAATCTTCGCATTCTAATGTCAAATGGAGATACGGTCAATTTGGAGGTACAGCTTAATGTTGCCGATTTTAAATACGGACAAATATCACCAATTAATCAAATTACTAAAACTATAAATAAACTATACGATCGCATGGATAGTCTGGATGGAGAAAGGGGCATTTTAGATTTAACACGCTTCGGCCAGAATAGTGAGCTGTTCGATGTGATTGTTTATTTGGGCAATCGAAGTGTGCTGGAACGCATATTCGATTTAATATATCGTAACGATGAGCGTTTTCGTAATGTAACTGGTATTATATTACGTGATAATGATATAACCACATTGTCGCCATTGAAATTATTTGCTGGTATTGAATTTGGCATATTGGATTTGAGAGATAATAAGGTGAGTTTGGAATTAATAACATTATTTAGATTATTTTTAAACATTATATACATAGGTAGATAGCGTTTATTAAATTTAAAGAGTAAAAGAGAATATTAATTGCAAACCAAATGTATACTGCATTATTTGCTTTATAATTATAAAAAATGACGTTTTATTACAAAAAGGATACAATTGATTAATTTAAATATTGTTACAGATTGAATCATATATACGCCTAAATCGAGATTTAGAACCAATAAAAGCTAATGAAATCAAATTAATGGGAAATCCAATAACACAATCACCAAATTATCCCGAATGTTTACGGCCTATTTTGAAGAATTTTAAAATGTTGGTAAGTAATGACAATCAATTTTTTTTGAAAGTTAATATAAAACAAAATTTCTTATCTTAGGATGGTATTCCCACAGAAAATCTTTCTAAAGATTACCGACCCACCGATACAAATGTACATGGAGCAGCAGATGGTTATCGCATCGATTGGTCTAATAAACTGGATATTAATCAATTTGAAAATAGCTCGGATTGGCATGCAATAATGGTAAGACGGGTTAGGAAAAAATATTCACATTTACTGAATGTCATATGGAAAATAGTAATGAAAATGTCTTTCAAAAAAAAATTGTTATTTTCTAGATACCTGATCCTGAACAATGTTATTCTCAAGAGGAAATAATGGATTATTTCTTTTTAACTGTTTCGACAAAGTTAAGCGATATATATCCATGTTATTATAAGGTAAGTATTAATTTAATATAATTGTATACCTTTTAGGTAATGTCAGGGCTGATTAATAATAGGGTTGACTTTTCGCATTTGTTTTCTGTTATATCTATTGGCTATATCAGCTATTTTCGATTGCCAGTTTGTTTTTGACAGATTAAAAAATTAGTCGAGTTTTGATAAGATCTTCGATTTTTTTACTATTCGAAATAATGGATCAATTGATAGGTCAATAAGGGATACTACATTGATTTGTGTAAAAGCAATAGGGCTGTTACAACAACAACATTGATTTGCTAATTTAAGTGATTCGCAATGGAAGAATATACAGACCTGCCAGAATTTTGCCCTAAGAACTGCAACAGGGCGTCTCCTCATGACTCCAGTGGAACATCTTCATGATATGACAAAGATCGACACAACTATATGTTGCCAATGCAGTACTTGTTTGGATGTTATATAAGCAAAGATATAAGCATGAACCCCTAGTCGCTCAGGCTCATCTATCGCAGCGGAAGAGAGCAGATTCCTTGACAAACAGAAGTAGTCTTAGCTCAACTAAGATCAGGATGGGGCGTCAATTCCTATTGGGCAAGAATTGACGACTCGATGCCTAACACATGTCCTGCATGGACTAGGACCACACGACACGTTGCACCTTATCAACGGCCCAACGAAGCCGAATCACCTATCATCAAATTTCCTATGGACACAACGCATTCAAGTTGCAACATTGCAACATCACACATGTGTTGTGATAGAGGTAAATTTTGCACCATTGAAGATACTGTTACAGACGTTTTGCATTTGGCAAACAATGACTCAACAAAAATTAATGGAACAGGAGTTGTCAAATAAAAATCAAAAGATGGCTTCATTGCTAGATTATAGGATATCCTGTATGTACCAGATCTACGGCCAAATTTATTATGTGTTGCAAAAATGACGAATATGGTTTACCTGAAACCAACAAAAGGCTTCTAAAAGCGAAAAGTACTTAGCGGGGTTTTACACTTATTGGGATTGGTATTGAAGTTTCTCTCTCATTGGTAAATTGAGAGTAATTAGAGTTGCACTATTTTTAATTTTGTAACAAACGTACTTTTTGTTCACAAAAGGTATAAACGTACCAAAACAAAAATTAGATTTTTTTATTATTCGTGAATACATTTACACTTAAATTATAAAATATATTATTTATCCAAATAACTGGTATAAATATTGGCCAATATTTCTCGATAATTATGATTTATTATTATTTGAAGTAAAAGGTGCCAATGTTTTCCAACTCTATTAATGAGAGAAAGAGATAAAATTCTCAACACCAATCCCAATAAGTGTAAAACCCTGCTTAAAATCTGTATTACGTCGAAGAAGGACATGAAGGAAATTGCAGATCAGCCCAAGAAAAAGACTGACATAAACGTTTCGGACATCCTAATGTGAACGATTTGAATGATATAATTCGGAATAAAAATTTAAATGGTGTATATATCGATACTAATGTGAAACTACAGGTGTGCGAGACATGTATTAAGGGGAAGCAAGTCCAAGCTCCATTACCCAGATCAAGAAATTTTAGGAGCTAATTTTCGAGTGATCCAGTGAAGTAATGCCCGCCATCAAAAATAAGGACTTTTCTTTAATTACAAAAAACAACAACAAAACAATAACAAAATTTTTTTGTAAAAAACTTCAAATATATATGTGCAAAGATGCAAACCTTAACAAGCATTGGTAATTTACGTTGAAAATCTTGAAAAATTAAAATCGTTTATAGATTACGATAAAACAATTGGAGTTAGGTGAAAACGCAAATATATTTTTATAGACGATAAAACAAGGTGGTGCGAAATATATTTTCTGGAAAAGAAATCAGAGGTATTGGAAAAGTTCAATGAATATTAAAGAATGGTTGGAAAACGAACTGGACGGAAAATAAAGACATTAAGATCAGATAACGGCACAGAAAATACGAATAATGAATTTAAGCATTTTATGAAGAATAAAGGTAAAAAACATTAATTTACTGTTGCGTATACGCCTCAGCAAAACGTATCGAACTTTGGTCGAAATGGCTCGATGTATGATAATTCAATCAGGGCTTGTCCCTAGGTACTGGACTGAATCCGTGTATACCGCAAACCAAATACGTAACAGATGCACTTCAAGACACCTAAATGGAGAAATTCCGAAGGCGTCGTAGGAAATTTGAACCAAAATCTAAAAAATGCATTGCCATTGATTATTCCGTATAGTCAAAGGCATATGGATTGTGGGCTCCTCAACGTCGTGTAGTATTTTGATCACGATATGTTAAGTTTACGAATATGTACCAATCAGAAAACAATTATTGCGATCTTATCGATCTTAATGTGTTGTAAAGTTAGAATTTTAAATGTGTTGTAAAGTTAGAATTAGTTAATATATATTTAACATAAAATGCTTTGCATTGAAGAAAGAAACAATATAAATACACATTTTTGTTTTTTCGGTTAGTCTTTAATAAAAACTCATTTCTCTCATTAACCGTGTTTTGGTGTTTTATTTCTCGGACTCCTCAAATAATCACAGATGCAAACATTAATCTTTTCAAACCTTTATCCACACCATTTTTGTAGTATACAGCGGGAGAACATCAATTTCTTGTGCGGCAATGTTTTGATCAAATTAAATATTTGGTAGAAAATTGTAATCTTGAAATAAAAATTCCACGATTTGTGGCACCACCACCACCCACACAATCTACAACAGATTTCACGCCACAATTGGTTATGGACACAACAATCGCCTATTACCTACGCATGAATATAAGTCCATTTCGTAAGGGACAAATCGAACCAATGGAATGCATTGAAAAGGCTCTGGATCGACGTTTTAGTGCCATGGATAGTATGTTAAATTTAAATAATTTTCAAAGCACAGAAGGTATACAAATCAATATTTAATTATTATTGTAATTAATTTAAAATGAATAAATGTGTGTGATTTTCTTTACAACCAGGCCTGGAAAACATTGTGATAAATTTAAGCTCAACGAAAATATTGTCGCGTGTTTTAATGCAAGCGTCGCGTAAATTCCTATCCACTTGTCAGGAACTACGTTTAGCTCATAATAAAATAGTCAATGTAAATTTTCCCAAAATCCTGGCACTGATGAGTAATTTAAAGGCCTTGGATTTGGGTAACAATTGGATACATTCCTTGGATGATATCAAAGGACTGGCGGTATTGGGTATAACCTCATTGCGTTTGGATGGTAATCCTTTGTGCAATGAATATTCCTTTGCTGGCGAATACATCAAGGCCATCAAGAGACATTTTACTGATCTAACAAAGTTGGTAAGATAGCTTACAAAATATAATTGAATTTCAATTACAATTCCATAATTAATGTAGGATGGCATTGGCATAACCAGTAAAGACAATTTAACATCTCCCAAAAATTTCCTATGTGATGTAGCTGGTTATGATTTTGTTGAGGAATTTGTAACACGTTATTTTAATACATTTGAAAGTGATCGGGAGGAACTTAAAGGTCTGTCGAAATGCAATCAATTTAATTCAAACATATTTTTTAATAATTTCCATTCCATTTGTAGATTTATATCATAGAAAATCGATATTATCTTTGTCATGCAATTTCAATGTACCAAAAGCAACACCACAAACATTAAAACGTATTTCAAAATATACACAATTTTCGCGTAACGTTTTGAATGTCGATAACGCTCAAGAAATGTTAGCAACAACATATATCGGATCAAGGGAAATAATGCAGGTTTTTATGAATTTACCATTGGTTACATATGATATGTTAAGTTTTTGTACGGACTGTACGATATTTGATGTAAGTACCTTGTAGGATAAAAAAATATATCCATATATCAATAATTTCACTAATTTAATATATATATATATATATATAACTCGGTTATAACGATGATGAGTAAATTCCCTCAGTTCTTGAAATACACAGATTTCCCTTAAGCTCGTCTATAAAGACTCCCTTCAGCTCGTCTATAAAGACTCCCTTCAGCTCGTCTATAAAGACTCCCTTCAGCTCGTCTATAAAGACTCCCTTCAGCTCGTCTATAAAGACTCCCTTCAGCTCGTCTATAAAGACTCCCTTCAGCTCGTCTATAAAGACTCCCTTCAGCTCGTCTATAAAGACTCCCTTCAGCTCGTCTATAAAGACTCCCTTCAGCTCGTCTATAAAGACTCCCTTCAGCTCGTCTATAAAGACTCCCTTCAGCTCGTCTATAAAGACTCCCTTCAGCTCGTCTATAAAGACTCCCTTCAGCTCGTCTATAAAGACTCCCTTCAGCTCGTCTATAAAGACTCCCTTCAGCTCGTCTATAAAGACTCCCTTCAGCTCGTCTATAAAGACTCCCTTCAGCTCGTCTATAAAGACTCCCTTCAGCTCGTCTATAAAGACTCCCTTCAGCTCGTCTATAAAGACTCCCTTCAGCTCGTCTATAAAGACTCCCTTCAGCTCGTCTATAAAGACTCCCTTCAGCTCGTCTATAAAGACTCCCTTCAGCTCGTCTATAAAGACTCCCTTCAGCTCGTCTATAAAGACTCCCTTCAGCTCGTCTATAAAGACTCCCTTCAGCTCGTCTATAAAGACTCCCTTCAGCTCGTCTATAAAGACTCAAAATGCTCGTTTTTAAAGACTCGCTTCAGCTCGTCTATAAAGACTCCCTTCGTCTATAAAGCTCGCTCTATAAAGACTCCCTTCAGCTCGTCTATAAAGACTCCCTTCAGCTCGTCTATAAAGACTCCCTTCAGCTCGTCTTTAAAGACTCCCTTCAGCTCGTCTATAAAGACTCCCTTCAGCTCGTCTATAAAGACTCCCTTCAGCTCGTCTATAAAGACTCCCTTCAGCTCGTCTATAAAGACTCCCTTCAGCTCGTCTATAAAGATTCCCTTCAGCTCGTCTATAAAGACTCCCTTCAGCTCGTCTATAAAGACTCCCTTCAGCTCGTCTATAAAGACTCCCTTCAGCTCGTCTATAAAGACTCCCTTCAGCTCGTCTATAAAGACTCCCTTCAGCTCGTCTATAAAGACTCCCTTCAGCTCGTCTATAAAGACTCCCTTCAGCTCGTCTATAAAGACTCCCTTCAGCTCGTCTATAAAGACTCCCTTCAGCTCGTCTATAAAGACTCCCTTCAGCTCGTCTATAAAGACTCCCTTCAGCTCGTCTATAAAGACTCCCTTCAGCTCGTCTATAAAGACTCCCTTCAGCTCGTCTATAAAGACTCCCTTCAGCTCGTCTATAAAGACTCCCTTCAGCTCGTCTATAAAGACTCCCTTCAGCTCGGCAATAAAGACTCCCTTCAGCTCGGCAATAAAGACTCCCTTCAGCTCGTCGATAAAGAATCCCTTCAGCTCGTCGATAAAGAATCCCTTCAGCTCGTCGATAAAGAATCCCTTCAGCTCGTCGATAAAGAATCCCTTCAGCTCGTCGATAAAGAATCCCTTCAGCTCGTCGATAAAGAATCCCTTCAGCTCGTCGATAAAGAATCCCTTCAGCTCGTCGATAAAGAATCCCTTCAGCTCGCTGATAAAGACTCCCTTCAGCTCGCTGATAAAGACTCCCTTCAGCTCGTCGATAAAGACTCCCTTCAGCTCGTCGATAAAGACTCCCTTCAGCTCGTCGATAAAGACTCCCTTCAGCTCGTCGATAAAGACTCCCTTCAGCTCGTCGATAAAGACTCCCTTCAGCTCGTCGATAAAGACTCCCTTCAGCTCGTCGATAAAGACTCCCTTCAGCTCGTCGATAAAGACTCCCTTCAGCTCGTCGATAAAGACTCCCTTCAGCTCGTCTATAAAGACTCCCTTCAGCTCGTTTATAAAGACTCCCTTCAGCTCGTCTATAAAGACTACCTCCAAAGAAAACATTTCTGCGGCTGAACTTCAACCCGTCTATAAAGAAGACATATCGTCAACAAGACTTACTAGTCTTAGAGAAGACGTCCTGCTGACATATAAAACGGACGTCATTTCAGCTCCTTTGTGAAGATTCTCGTCTATATATTCGTCCTTCTGTTCTTCCTTTATATTAACTCCATCCTGATTTAAGATTTTTTTGGTGATCTATAAAGTTTCTGTTTCTTAACACGCTTCATAGGAAAATAGGGTTGTAATAACGGTCAATGGTGTATTTTTGGATCAAGCTCCTAGCATTGTGGAGACAGATATATTAATGGCATTTTCAAGGACATTTGTGCTAAAGCCAATTAAACGCAAAACGGTAAGATTACACGAACAATATCTAAAAACTGGTTTTGTTATTTTATTTACACTTTTTTAGGGATCTCTAAGGTGTGCCACCCTATATAGGATTGTCAACGACCAGTATAGTATAACAAATCCAACAGCTACACAAACCAAAAGAGCATTTAAATATTTTAAAAATATTCAATCTGCCAAAAAAGATGAAATAACTGTGGCCGATAAGGAGGCACTTTTGGTAATGTTCCAGGAAACGACTGCTCTAAAATCCATATGGTGTACAAGGTAAATAAAATCATATGTAAGGACTTTGATTTTTCTACTGAATTTACGGATTTAATAGTTTATTATTTTTTGACAATTCAATGTTTTCCAAATTTATTTATTTGTTTTTAATACAGATGCCTGGAAGAAGCTGATTGGAACTTTACGAAAGCCTTGGAAATATTTGTTCAGCTATGTGAAAAGAAGGAAATACCCGATGCTGCATTTAAGTAAATCTACAATACGAAATCTCTACAGATCGTGTAGTTAAAATAAACGAATTTATTTTGAAAGAAAATAGTTACAAATACTCGAGTGATTTATTCGTGTTTTTAAGTAAACAAAACTTATTTTTATTATTATGATATAACTGATAATTATATCACCAATATATATATATATATATACGCATTTTTTATATTTAGTAATAAATCAACACTTGACATGTTGTAACGTAACGGTAATATTCAACGCAATTTTTCATGTTACACTATTTTCGTTAATTATAAGAATTGAAGATATCATCTCATTTCAGAAATCCATTTTATAGTTATTTTTGCTTATCATATTTGCCCTTGGTCATATATGTGTTCTTGGATTATCATTCATATTTGATCATTCAAGATAACATTATCGTAGAAGGTGTCAGTTCCTTAAACATTAATTTTATTTGATTAACTGTGACGACACTTCTACGAAATCGAATCGACCGATCTTGACTCAATCTTAACAAACGTTCAATATAATTTTCTTTCTAAGAATGTGTTGGAGGGAGACGAAGAGTGGTTATACTTAAAGACGTCACTTCGTTGATAGACAAGGTGAGCATAGGGAGAGGGATATTTTATATAACGTAGGACCTCTCTATCTCTATCCAGATCATGGAGCTCATTCCTGGCACGGTCGGGGAGTTGTATCAACCATATGCAGCCAACAGTCATTGTAACGATAGCGTATGGGTATGCTGACGTAAGTGAAGGATCTTCGACTCCTCACGAAGATAGTCCACCGATGTCATGAGGATACGCCCAGTTGAAGATATCAAGGCGGCGTTCTGACAGGTCTGAATACTTCTCCATTGCGTAGCACAAGTATTCGCGGACCACACTGGTACCGCATAGCTGGCCACATACCGATATATCGCTTAAAACTCCGACCATACCGCATAGCTATACTTATCTGTGGTTGAATTAAGATCATGCTGTCTAATTTTGAGAAAAATATATAATAAATGCAAAACCAGACATTTTAACCAACTATGTATTCTCAATTCATTCAATTTTATTTAACTTGACAAATATAGGAGGCCAATAATGTTTACTTATCTGTGGCCGAGGACCTACCGACAAGCGGCGTGAGGATTTTGATCATGCTGTCTAATTTTGAGGTAGTGGGTGGTCGAAATTGTATGCTCCGCGACCTACGCATTCCAGCGGATATTTTCATTTGGCAGCGGATATTTTCATATTCCTCGCGTGGAAGAATGGTGCCAGATCGGCCAGATAGACATTTAACCTTACGCATATGTTCTCAACTATAGGACTCCACGTCATGGTCGTGCAATTATCTTGATACATAACGATCTCAATGAATGACAGCTTCGGAGATATCACTCAATACTGAGGAACACCCTGCTTCACTCTACAGGATTTGAAAATTCGATAAATATTATGTGTAGACGCCACATAATATTTATTATCCAAAATTTCAACTTAACCGGGGGGAAATATTCTCTATATCCTCAAACAATGTGACATGATTGATTGGTATCAAATTATTTTTATTGTTCAAGCGCTACCAATATTGTTCTATGACACTTCTGGTTCTGGTGGAGTCCTCGACTTATATGTGTGGAGATGGCGGGCAATGCTATTGGTGTGCTCTACACTACATCGTATAATCTTCGCTTTTCCATGTCGCTCCCGGAAGGCTCGGTTAAAATAAAAAGCGCATATCTTCGGATCAGTCACAGTTTTGTCCTTAGATGTGACTGAGAGGTCCGATAATTGTCCTTATCAAGGTTCTAAATCGACTTAACCGTTGCAAACAGTATACTGATGTTGTAACTCTTCAGATGCTCCTACCATTTATTCCGCTTGTGCTAGCGACTAATCTACTGATTTCCAACGTGAGTTCTTTAATCTGCTGCGTTAGGTCGACGGAGCTCATCATGCACATTTGCTAAACCAATTGTCTCTGGTGGGAAATTAGGTATCATCTTGGGTATTCGAGCAGCAGGTATAAATTTACCGGCTGCAGCGGCAATGATGTCCCGTAATTTTCTTTCTGCTACCCGTACATCAGAAGGAATATAAAGTTCTCTGACACGTGAACTCTCTAAACCAGTGGGGTTTTCTTTGTTTAAGGAAAACAAGAAGATCGGGGAATCTGCTGATGGAAACGATTATGGTGAGGTGGTTTAAGTCAAGTGAAATGACGGGCTGCTAGTTAACTTAATTTATCAGACCGGGCGATACGGTGCTTATGTCTGTGACATTCTGGTGGGGGCATCCTCATTTACTGTGCAGAACATGTCCTATAAGTTTGGTCTGCCAGCACTGTTCCCTTCTGGTCATTCCTAGGACTGAGTGCCACAGCTTATGGTGGGCAGCGGTATTCTTTCTATTCATGAAACCCACTATATCTATTTTTCCTCGAAGACCTTTGCAATTAAATTGCAGAAATGATGCACTGCCAGGAGTAGGAACTGAAACATGTTGGAATGTGCATGTTGAGCTGCTGTTGAGAAGACTTTGGATTTCTGTGGACTGCTTTGTAGCAGCACGATGCAACGTAATTCGCTGTTCTGAACAGGAACAGTTCCTGAAGTGCACCCCTGCACCCATTACACCTCACCGATTCTAATCTGTGGTGTATAAAGTTGTGGCAAATCGAACAGAGCTACAGTAATAGGTTTTGTTTGATTTCGGCACGTTGTGCATTGTATCTCCCATTGTCGAGGAAACGAACTGAAGGTTGTATCAAGGCCTATTAATAAGTTCATCCAGGGAGACCAGCTTGATGTCAGCTGCCTCTCAAGTTTGCTGCCAAAAGCCATTATTGTAAATTGACTTCCATAATGACAACGTAAACAAAGTCCAAATTTTTGACATTAGACTTGAGAAATAACAGCAGATAAAATAACGCTGGATGGGTGACCTTATTAATAGATCTTGGGTCGTATTTATTATTGCGAACTGGAGCTCGCACCAACACTATTAGTTTGTGAGCATCAGATTTAAATATAGCTCCCATATATATATATACCAAATACCATATGTTTGTCCGATTGACACACAAATTTGCACAGCGTATCAAACTGACCATTGAATGATGTATGTGAGGTTTAAGTACACTTTTTCTTATAATGAGATATTTAACCCTTTGAGCCCCGAATTTCATTTTTACAAGAATCGAAAATAATTCTGATGGCAGAATTCGTACAATTTGAATATGAAGCGATTGTATGAATGTGGACTGTATACACAAATTAGTACTGTACACAAATTTACCCTCTTCTCTATATGGAAAAGCTCATAACTTTACCAACATTTTGAATTTTTTTATTTATCTTTTGATGTGTGTCGTCCATAATCAGGTCTTGACAAATGAAATAAAAAATATGTAATATATATCTACTAGCTGCATATTAAATATAGTCTATAAAACATTTTGTTGCCTGTGGGCAACATTGGGCCACAAAGGGTTAATGGTTTGTGTTTGATTTGTCTGTGTGTCGATACCAAGCAACGGCTATGATTGGCTTTAACATGGCGAAGCCCAGACTTATCTTATAGACGAATTGCTATAATCCGTATAAAAGCGAAGTTATTCTACATCAGTCTTATTTGCGCCCATGCTCCGACGGAAGACAAAGATGAACAGACCAAAGACATTTTTTACGAGCGCCTAGAAACTGCATATGACCGCTGCTCTGGCCATGACATTAAAAATTCTGCTAGGATATTTTAATGCAAAAATCGGAAAGGAAAATATTTTGATCTCACCGTCGGAAAATTAAGGCTCCATGAAGAGGTTGATTGAGTTCGCGGCAGCAAAAAACATGGTAGCTGGCAGCACCAGATTCAAGCATATCGATATACACAAGGCCATCTGGATTTCTCCTGATCAAGCAACGAGAAATCAAATTGACCATGTTGTGATAGAGAGACGGCATTCGTCTGGGGTTTTAGACGTTCGATAGATACGAGGAGCGAATATCGATTCGGACCGTTACCTTGTGGCAGCCAGGGTTCGCACCTGGCTTAGTGTTGCTGCAAAGGTGCGATCTAATATAAGACGGAAACTCGACATCGAAAATCTGCAAACATAACAGGTAGCAGAGACCTACTACGCTCAACTTACCCACCTGCTTGACGAAAGCACTCCTTGGAAGAAGCTGATTGGAATTTTACGAAAGCTCTGGAAATACTCGATGCTGCATTTAAGTACATGTATAATGAGAAATCTCAACAGATCGTGTAGTTAAAATAAACGAATTTATTTCATAGAAAATATTAGTAATTACTCGAGTGAATTATTCCCGTTTTTTGAGTTAATATTTTTTTTTTGTAATATAACTGAAGATTTATAACCTATGCACAGTTATTCGATTTTTTTATATATTTGGTAATAAATCAAATCAACGAATTATGTAACATAACGGTAATATTGAAAGGCACTTGTCATGTTACACTTTTTTCATTTATTGCGCAAATTATAAGGAATTGAAGATATGATAATTGTCAGAATTTCATTTTATAGATATTCTTGCTAATTATATTCGTCAATGCTTATCATATTTGATCATTGACGTTCACATTATGTTAGAAGGTGTCAGTTCCTTAAACATTAATTTTATTTGATTAACTGTGACCACACTTCTACGAAATCAAATCTACCGATCTTGACACAATCTTAACTAATTTTCAATATTCAATAAAGACTGATTGGACGACTAGCTGGGTGGTTTATGAATTGTCTTTCTAAGAATGAGCTGAAGGCAGACGAAGTGTAGTCATTCTTAAAGACGTCACCTCGTTGATACACGAGGTGAACACCTGGAGAATGGTATTTCTTTGTTTATAAAGTAGTTGGAGTGTTGTCGTTTTTATATACGATATGGTGATTGTGGGCTGAAGTGGTGCTCGCTGGCCGAATAGGACTCTGATCGTTTCGTATTGCTGATTTCATTGTCGTGGAAACGAGTTGAAGTTCGCATTTATTATAGTCAAATTGAAG